AGAAAAGTACTAACACTCATGTCTGCCTGTTTTCTTGAAAAACAGAGACAAAACAAGCCATGCACACAAAACCTTGATTTTAAAAGACCATCACTATTTTTGTCAATTTTCACTCTCCTTCTCTATAAGAATTTCTTTTTAGTAGTTACATAAGTAAAGTATGCAGTATATAACAGAGAAAGTTAATACATGTTTTGAACCACTGCAGTCATCTCAGTGTTTCTCAGATCAGTTTTTCCCTGCTTTCACATTCAGAGCAGCAGCATGGTGATATGCAGTTATCCAGACCACAGATGTGCTGACTAAAACCCCTGATCAGTGGCAACTAAACCAGCCCCAAGTCTCCTTACAGACATAACTGATCTCAAAAATCAAAGATCAGATCACTGCTGACAAGCAAATCCCAAACTTTTGCTCCTTGATCATTCCTGTTTATTTGGATTCTTACACATTATACCAAGCAATAGAGAAACTTAAGCATTGAAAAGTGAATTTTATTATGAAAATATCCATTACATACATTGATGCTCTGCCTGAACTCCTGATCCTACTTTGACATAGTCTTCTATACAGTTACATTTATTGATTTACTGTTTGAAACTGACAAGCTTTCTCTGGTGAAACTATGGTATTTTTCTCTGCAGAAGAAATTCCCCTACTCACATAAGGGGTTCAAAAGCCTCTTCTGTAACTAAACATTGATGATACATTCAATTACTTAAACCATTATCACGTTTCCTGTAACATTCTTGCCAGTATCAGTAGAACAGACTTAGTTTCTAACATTTGATTCTGGGGCAGATGAAGCCTATGAAAAAAAAAAAAAGAAAAAAAAAAAAAGGAGAGACAAAGACTTGCTTCAGAGTAATTCGCTGTATCTCATCCAAATGTAGTGGGAGTGAGTTTATGACACCATTAAAACTTTGGAACATTGTTTATTTATGAAAATAACAACCACATAAGAGCATTTAACATTTCTTTATATGCACCATTTCATAGTTGCTTCATTAATGCAAAAATATACTATACCAACATAGCACAAGTTTGGTTACCTATTAATTAAACTTAGAATACCTACATTATTACTAGAAATATAGAACTTAGAGAAGGGAAATAATACTTTTGCTGCTGGGGTGCTCAGGTTCCCCAGGTACATCTGAACCCAGACTGTGATAAGTGTGATTTGTGTGTAACAAAGGAGACACAGCTTCCATATCAGTGGGGAAAATAGCAGAAAGGATGTACTGACAGGCTACATAAACTGTGAACGTTAAATTACTCTCCTGGTGTTTCTGGAGCAGATCACTCATCCCTTTGATTAAATTAGATTATGTAAATGAATTATATTATGCAAATGATGGCTTTTCAAAGTAGCAATTTCTAAGTTGCCCATGATTTACTCATCAGTGCAGCAGTAGTTCTAAATCTTTGCACTAGGGAAGGAGTAGAGCTACAACTTCTTCTAAGAAAGCTACTTAACTGACAGCCTCATTAGTGACATGAAGTAGTGAGTGAAAGGAAGATGAAATTATTCTCTTACCATTGCTGATACATCTTTCAGGCCAAAGATGACACGTAACTTTTTCAATGTGAGAAGAATAATTTCATTATAAAGATTAGTACAGAACACATTTTGTACACCAAGACCCTCTAATCTCAAATTTGGCACTAGATGAACATAAAAAATGCATCAAAATAAGACAAAAATGTAAGCTGAAGCTTTCTAGAATAGAATATGTAAACAGCTAAAACCTCACTTTTGCTTCTCCTCTATTAAGCTCAATAATCTTGACTGTCATGACAATTTAAAAAAAAAAAAATTTTCCCTCTTGCATAGTAGGAGTTCATGTCTTCAGAAAACACTGAAACTGAAGTTTGTAGATAGCTTCTCAACTGTGGCATTTATTTAAACAATACATAATCGATGTGTAAACAGCTTCATCTTCTCAAACTAGCTGGAAAGTAGCTGCCTCTGTATACTGTCAGACAAGTTTATTAAGCTGTTGTCCATTGAAGAGAATTCAAAAGAAAGCCACACATCAACATGCTCAGATCCTGCAACAGGACTTACTTACAAACAAGGCATTCTTGATAAAAATAAATACTGCATGCAATGACATTTTTTAAAAGTCTAAAATTAAACAATTGAAAGTATGATTCTCATACATAAAAAAATTCCCTTTTGTGCTTTTAGTTTTCAATATAATTTTAATTACACTTTTCAACATATAAAAATAAACCTAAAGTACAAGCTGAAAGCTTCTGTTCTGTTTACATATTAGCAAACAAAATTAAATTTTAGATTCTCTTTAGGCACTAACACTTAATAATATCTACATATTTCAACTCTCCACACTCCAATCTCTAGTGAGAAAACTGCATCTCTCTGAATTAAGTGCCTACTGATTGACATGACTTTAGCCATTTACAGATCTCAGTATTTATGCGACTAAATCAAATTTTCACGTTTAAACTTATGATAACACCAAAGGCAATAACTGATTGCTATAAAATGGAAAATACAAGTGGCAGGTGGGACCCATAATATGACCCAGTTCGTTATTCAGAATTCGCATCCTAAAGACTGTTTTACCATTATGATGCAATTATCACAGTTTGGATTCTTTTTTTTCCCCCCTCTAAAAGTACGTGAACTCCGATCTTCTTTCATTACAAACCAACAAAAAGACAGTGATGCAAAGATGCTTCAGTCTTAAAAGTAGACAATACACACATCACTATGACATTACTGCTCGCAATCATCATACACATGAATGAAAAAATTGAGTGATAAGGACAGGTAAGAACTATACAATACTTTATAACATACAAAGCAGTCTTCACTTATCTCTTTCTTAGACCAAAAGAAAATCATCACTTTAGTTACTACTACAAAGTATCAGTACAAGCTAAGGGCAACAAAGAGAAGCTACGCTATAACAGACCCGCAGGGTTTCAAAGTAATTTCAGGTATTGCCTTAGATGTAACTGGGCCAGAGAACACTTGCAAGCAACGCAGAGCATACTACAGACTACAGAATTTTCCTCCCTTGCAGCAGAGTAAAATATCCAAGTGTTCACAGCTCATTTCAGAATCCAAGCTGTGCATAGGTTGCTGCTGTCAGCCAGCTAATATAAGGCTAGTTCAGATGTATCTATTTTGATGTGCCATCAAAAAAAATTAGCAGGTGATTAACGAGTAAGCAGAACCCACATCTCATCAATTTCCCAGGTATTCTTCAGATATTTCTAGTTTCTAATCTAGTGCTTTTATCCCTACTTCTAGTTCTGAAATACGAAAAAAACAGCATTCTTTACATACCATACTATCAGTGTTTGCGAACAAAATTCCATCCCTCACACCTGTGTAAATCCATTGACTTTGATGAATTTATCTAAGCCACAGCCACCTCTATCTTGAGCTTGAAATCCTGTTTCATCCACCAGCAGTTTTCTTCTGCTATCTTCTTCATCCAAAAGCCATGTCTGTTATCTAGAAACACTGTTGGGAAGTAACTGTGGGCACTAATGGAAGCTTATGCATTTGTACTTTACATGGTCTTTGCAAAATGGCACTGCATCATCACTTTTCTGAGCAATTAAAATTTCAAGTAAAGGCTGATTCAGATGAAATCACATGTAAAGCAACAGAGCTATTGTGAACTACACCATTTTCTAAACCTCCACTCGGCTTAATCCTATTTATAAAGCAGAAACCCAGATGATCTGACATGGCAGCTCAGCATGCAAGCTTGCTAATAATGAGGCAATGGACTTCCCATGGAAGATGGACACATTCAATGGACAATGCGTGCAATCCTGTAGGAGCAAGCTGGAACTTAATTACTGTGCTACACTACCAGTTTAAAAATTAACTACCCTCTGCTGAGATACAGATTTTATTGAGTAATAGTTCTCTAGTAGTGGCTTTTTAGGAAGAGAGGAACCATAAAACATCCTATACAAATAGGCAGAACTTAACTTCCTCACAGGTGTGCACAGTATTTACAAAGCAAAACCAAAAAACAAAGTATTTGGAAGAAAATATGACTTGAGGTGGGGAGGAAATGTGTGTGTTTGGTGGCTGGCTGCTTTGGTTGTTTGGTTTTTTCCTTTTTTTTAAAAAACAAACAAACAAAAACTTTCTGTAAGGGAGCCATAATTCACATACAACATAACAATGTGCTGCATATAGCCTCACTTATGTGCTAAGTTAGCCAGTAAGTTAAGGCTGCCATCTTTAACTACCAATTTCCAAAGGCATGTTTCTCAGCTAAGTGTGCACAATCGTTTACATATTCTATAACCGATATATCATAGGGCTATGCAATTTCAGAATAACAAAACTAAAGATAACAAACTAATATCAGCTAAAACATGATACACTTCAAGAATTCTAATTCTTCCCAAAGGAGAAACTTTGCTTTTTGAAGATACCATAAAAAATACATGTATGTTTTCACTAATACCCACATTCTGAATCAAAGAAGCTGTGTGAGTAAGACCATATGGTCTAAAAATATTCCTTTAATAAGTATGTATCAGCAGAAATTTCCCTCTAAAATACTTGATTTTATTATTGAAATGGTACCAAAGATAACAAGTATAGAAATAATCTCTTTGCTCTATGCTACTTAGACATCATAAACAAGACAGCTGTTGTTGCAAGACATAATCCTTCACAGTCTTCCTGTAAGCACACAGATTTGTTATTCTTTTATCAGAATTAACTGCTTACCAGCCAACAGCATGTGGCTTAAAGATCACAAAAATGGCTGCCTGTACTTTACATGGTAAAGCATTTTCTGTGCTCTTAAATGTGTAGTGGTAAGAACACTAAATCTTATAAAAAATGAAGAGTGATTAAGCAGCTTCACAATCAAATTGATTTGATTACCTTAGGAATTGGGCAAATTTTTTGTTTCCTCTAACATGGTCTCCTCCCCCCCACAGAAAGAATTAACTATGCAAAAGAAATTATAACAAATAAAAAGCAAATAGCCAATACACTATTATTTTTTTATTTCAACTGAAAGAAATAACACTTCCCATGAGGTAAGGCAATTAATTCCATTGCATTAAGTTGTAGTAAAAATAATCTACTCCACTTTAGCTATAATTATGTCTTAGAAGTACGACTTTTCAGAAATCTCATGTAACCAATTAAATTAGTTCAGAGAACACAAGCCATGTTTTACCCTTGACAAAAATATTTCGTCATTCTCTTCTTACGTGCTTTCTTCCCAAAAAATGAAAAAAAAACTCTACTATGTAAGCCCTGTGTAAATTAAACTTTCTTGCTCAAATTATTTATCCCCCACTGCTTTGCAAACAATTCCTTCTACATCACCCTACAGGTACCAGAGAAGATGATCAAGAGGTAACAATTAAGGCCATCCAAATGTAGATTAAATGTCTTAAGGGCTTTCTTGATGCAGGTGATCAGAACACGCTTTATGTTGAGCTACTACTTTTGTACAGTGGTGGTCCCCACACTGCATCTTTGCTCTCATTTATAAATCTCCTTTGAGAGTAAAAAATAAAAGTAAAATGGAGCTTCAGTATTTTAACAAATGAACCAAACAACCATTCTGACAAATCACTTGCATCCTTGTCCACAGTACGGTGGTGGCAAAATAGCAATAGAGATCATATAAGGTTTAGCTGAAAATGTGTAACAACACATATACATTTCTAGAAAATATCACATTTTAAGAAGGCACTAAAGCTTCTGCTTGTGCTCCCGTATTTTTTTAACCAAAGAAAAAAAATTATTTCCTTAATGGCACCTGTACTATTTGCAGCTTGACAGACACACTGCAGTACATCTCAAAACAAAGCTGTAAGTTCTGATAATACCATACTGATGTGCTCATTTCTGTAAGGACAAAGAAAACAACAAAACAAACCAATCCTAAAACAACCCAGTAAGCTAACCAAATATCTATAACATGGCAATGTTCCTTACAGGAAAAGAAAAAGAGCATGCATTGTTCAAATACTTTAAAAGAAATATTAATTTTAGGGATATTAGTAAAAAATTCTTTTAAATAATAAACCCGAAGAATCTCAAGCAGTGAGCAAATGAAAAACACACTAGTTCTTGGGTATTTAACATAAGGTAAAACTGTGTTTATGTTTAAAACCCCTTTCCCTACAGTTGTCATTTACAAGGAAAGAAGGTGTGTACATTTATGCACCATTTTCAAGCACATCAAACATTACACATTGGGATTTTTTAACCCACAGGGTAAAACAACACAAGTCATCAACAAGCAGTATTTTAAACAACCCTCAATGCATATCTTCATCTTTTTTGGGAAAGTACAGGTTTACATCTTTCAGTTTCCACTTATTTGTAACAGCTTATAGCAAAACGTAACATATATAATTTTACAAGTACAGCCATCATGGAAATGCATGGATTTTCAGAGATGAATAGTTCTGATGGCATCTGCCTTTTCATGGTATAATGACTGGTCCGTGCTCTCTTGCTTTACAGCAAGAAGACAACAAAGCTATCACAAGAATTGTAGGAACTACTAGTACTATCAATACGGTCAGGTTGATTGCTTTGACATTTTCTTCCTCATTCTGGGAAATAAGATGCTTTGGATTTCATTCCTTAGTTGAATTACAAGTCCATTCTCTGCTTTAAACCTCTTCCATTTTAATTGAGAGGCTTTCTTCATTTGGTTGACAGTTCCCGTTCTGTTGTAGTTTGACTTCATCTGTCCTTTGTGCATCTCTATTGTCTACTTCCTTGTCAGTTTCTGAATTCTGATCCTCTTTATTGTTATCTTTCTCCTACCAAAGATAAAATAATTTTATAAAAAAATATTTCTTAGCATTATATAACATGACTTCCAACCAACTCTTGGTAATTTTATTGTCTCAATTTTTACATGCCTATCCTGTCTCTGTAATTTTTAGAACAGAGGGTGTGAGCTTCTTTGCCCCTTGTTTTTTTAAAATAAGCTCTCTTTTCAACTGGCTGAAGTTAGGCACTCATATCAACTCGTCATCCAAGAAATCACTGCCATAAAGTGATCTGTCTTTATTATCTATATTCTGAAAAAACAGAACAAGCAGCACCTATGAGAAACAGCTCCAGAAATTAAGATTTCACCACATTTTTTTAATAAAACAGGATTACATTTTTTCTTTCCTATTTTTTTAGGTATCTGATGTGTTTTAACAGAGTTCTTGGGTAAGATACTTAAGCTTTGTAGAATGACATAAATCAGCTGTTTTATAACAGTTGTATAATTCTGAGCACAACAAACTACTCTTTAAAGCATGCTGCTATTCAAATTCTAGAATTAAACAGTTTGAAGATGTTTCTTTTCTTAATTGCAGCACCTTCTCTTTTGAGGGAAAAATCCTATATCACTCTTCCCCAACTGTTCAACTCTACTCCTGCAGAATCCAATACACAGAGACTAGGACCAAGGCAACGAGGGAGAGGCTGAACTGCACAGTGAAAGTTTATTTAAATAACATTTTCAGCTTGACAGTCAAGATGCCTCTGAACATTGCTTCTTAGTTACATGGTCTGCCTGCTCACAAAGGTAGGCAGCCAGCCAATTCCTAACATACGGCACACAACAGGAAAGAGTAACAAAACTAAGTGTTTCTGTACACTCCTACAGGTCCAGTATAGCTCAAACACGGAGACTTACCAACTGGCCCACTCACCCCAACTGCGGGTCTCCAACTAGCAAAAACTAAACCCAAACAGTAATAATTTTGTAAGGAAAACAGAAGGAGTAAAAGATGGTCGCATGAAAAGAAAGAAAAAGGAGGGAGGGAATTTCAGTAATGGCTTCACTACCACCACTTTAGTCTGTTGATCACTTGGGTCACACAAGCTTACCTTCAAAGCAGTGGTGCTTTTGTCAGATTTCTCCTTTCCCTCTTTTTCTTTACTACTTTTTTTCTTGGAGGTGGAGCGTTCTCTTTCTCTTCTTTCATTATTTGTATCTCTTTCTCTTTTTTTTTCTTTCTTGTTTCTGTTCAGAAAATTTTTAGTCAAATTAGGATTTGATCCAACTTCAAACTATTTGACTGCTAACTTGAACTCTCTGCTGTGCATTTTAAAAAAAACCCTAAAATGTAACAGAAAAACCTTTCAAGAGGATTTTTTGACTTGAAGAGAGTTAAACAGTGCAAGTGATCAGTATGGACTGTATTTGCCAAGAAAAAAGCAAATTGATCTCTATCAGATGAAAGGGTTTTATCATTTTGAAGCAAATTTGCATTGCTGATTGATTTGAAACTCTCCCACTGAAAGCTAAAATCCAAAGCTAAAACCCATTAAGGTTTTGGGTTGGTTTTAAATTAAAACTGAATCATACTGACTAACTGTAATCATCTGAGATGACTAGTGCAAGGGCAATAAAACAATGAAAATGTTATAAATCCTGCCTTCTTTACTGATCATTAACTTTTATGTTTACATCAAACTGACCTTCTGGGGGAAGGAGTTCGCGAAGACTTTCTTTTTGCTGTTTTCGATGTTTTAGGAGACTTGGAAGGACTTCTACTCTTCCTTTTATGCCTTTCTCTACGGGACCAAGAAATTCAAGATCATCAAACCCCAAAATAATAAACTCAGGAACCAGATAAAAGGAGAAAGCTCATAAACGATCTAACACATCCACTGTGCAAGTACCCCTGAATTTAACATTATAAATCACCAACAATATACAAACTGTACAAAGCAAAAAAATATTTTTTATGTGCCAGTTTGGTGGGAAAGGCAAGGGCTTGAAGTAGAAAAAAAGTTTGTACCCTTTCAAATACTATTTTTTCAAATCATCGCATGCTTGATAACAATGGAAACACACTGAATTCACTAATCCTGTATTAACTAAGAGTTTCCTCAGTCAGGAAAAGAATTCAATTGAATGAAGTGCCATATTAAGGCATAACTTGAGTAATATGAAATTCAAAACGTAACATTACAACCTGAAGATCACTGAAACTTCAGGTTAACCTGACTGAAATTTAATTTATGAATGAAATTTAATACATGAGCTAGAATTCCTGTTCGTTTAGAAGTAAACCGTTCACAATTAATCCCAAGCTGTTGTCAAAATCAGAATAAATAAGCAAATATTTACTGTTTTTCTAGTGGTCCTTGCTCAGCAAACAGAATGCTATCATTCTACAGCACACAGAAGAGCTTGTATTTTACAGAACAGCTGTTTTACACAGCTGGAGTTTGCTGAAGTTGCTGCTATGGAGTTTGATCCTGAATAGAACAAAACCTTAAATAACTGGTTGCAAACATGGTGAGGCACATGTTGAAGCAAAAACTAATCTAGTAAAGCTTCATTCAACATAAATGCAGAACCCATCTTTGACAAAATAAGACGATTTTCTCCTATCAACTCTTCATAGAGCAGGAAAACCAGATTGGAAGAGCCACCAAAGAAAAACAGGAAAGTTAGAAACTAACTTCTAGATATGACACAAAAGCTACACTTACGCATACCAAGTTCTTCAATTCACACCATTAGGTGTGAATATTTAAACCTTTAGTATTTAGAAAAGCAGGAAATCAACAGTTATTAGATAAATTATGGAAGGACATATTAAGTTATGCCTAGTATCACTACCTGACACTATCTGACAGTATCATCTACCATGACTGTCCTGGTTTTGGCCAGGACAGAGTTAATTTTCTTTCTAGTAACTGGTACAGTGCTGTGTTTTGGATAATGCTGACAATGCACTGATGTTTCAGTTGCTGCTTACCCTGTATCAAGGACTTTTCAATTTCCCATGTTCTGCCAGCAACCAGGTGCACAAGACTCTGGGAGGGAGAGCTGACCCAAGCTGGCCAAAGGGATATTCCATACCATAAGGGGGAGTTGGCCAGGCCGGGCATCGCTTGGTGGGTGGTGAGTGATTGCGTTGTACATCACTTGTTTGTCTGGGGTTTTATTCCCCTCTCTCTCCTTCCCACTACAGTTATTATTGTTATTATAATTATTATTTTGTTTCAATTACCAAAATGTTCTTTCTCAACCCCTGTGACACAGAGCTGGGCAGAGTGTGAGAAGGCTGAGCAAGGAAGGGGCTGGTGTGGGAACAAAGAAAGTCCAAAAACAACTGTTATGGTTTAACCCCAGATGAGCTCACTCCCAGCCTCCCTTCCCCTGCTGGGGCTGGGGAGAACTATCAGGAAAAAAAGGAAAACTCCAGCATCTACCAGCTGCCAAGAAGGCAATTAACTCTCTCCCAGCCAAAACCAAGACAGGGACCTTCTGAAGCTGCAGAGGAGCAGGTTTCTTAAATATTTTGTTCAATAAGCTTTTAAGTTTGATTTCATCTCTGGTAAACAAAAATATAAAGTTGCATCAGAATCATGGAGCAAATAACACAATCACTGATCAGTTGTTCACTTGTTAATAAGCATGTCAGTTTTCAAATAAGGATACTAGAAACTGATTATTCTGACAGTGCTCCCACTTTGGCTACATCAAGTACAACCCTGCTTTATTTTGCTTTCCAGCATACATATCTGTGAGTAACAAGTACTTTAGCAATTGTGTTCCAACTAGAAACTGTTTCTTCATGAAACCTAATTTTAATTTTCTGCTTTTCTTATTTCAAGTCGAAGAACTACAATTGTGTCTCACCGCATTTGTTCCCATTTCTGTTACATTTGTCTTTAAAAAGATTTTTGTGTACCTGTTTCATTAGTGCTCTTACACAATACTAATATAGTAAAATTCAGGAAAAAGCAAGTCTGAATACTTTGAGAGTGATACTGTGTCTCCTAAGCATACATGGAAATAACATTCTGCACCTCCTCTGGTACTGCTGGCACTACTAGCCTGTAAGATGTCAGTTGGAAAGACAGCCAGATCCTTCTCTTCCCCTGGTCTGTGTCTCTTCCTTCATCTAGGAATCACAAATAACCATCTTATTTCCAGTACTTACACACTGCCTGTCAGCAAAGCAATGTCAGTTTCCACCTAGTTCCTAAAAAGTTCTGTATGTCCTATTCCACCTTCAACTCTTCTCCAAAAAGATCACTACTATTTGTCCAATATTTTACACTCATCAGGTAAATGATCAGCAGTCAGTGCTGTACTGTAAATCCAGGCAACTGAAACGCCAGTTTGCTGGATAATCTTCTCCAGAACAGTCTGTAACCATTTCAACTAGGCAATGTCAATCACTAAAGTAAAGAGATACCTCTAAAAGCAAGCTGTGACTCTGTAACCCAGCCTATTCACAATTATTTTTCAGAGAGCAATAGCATTGCTAAGGTTGGAAGAAGCCTCTGAAGATCACTTAGTCCAACCTATCCCTCCCCCACCTTACAACAGGGTCAATCACGAGTAGGTTATTCACAGTCATATCCAGTTGGATTTTTACAATCTCCATGGATGGAGGAGTCTCTGCAACTCCTTGGGATAATTGGTTCTAGTTTGCCCATAAAAAACACCATTTAAACATTAGAAAAAAAGCCTTTTTTCCCCATACATTAATATGGGCCTACTGCCTCTTAGCCTGTCACAGGCCTCCACAGAGATAACAGGCTCTGTCTTCTTCACACTCTTATAAGGTATACACACACATTGGTAAGATGCTCCTCAGCCTTCTCTTTGCCAGGCTAAACAATCCCAGACTCCTCAGTGTCTCCTTGTATGATGGATGCTCCAAGCCCTTTTATCAGTTTTGCTGCCCCTCACTGGATTCACTCCAGTATGTCTGTATGTCTCCTGTAATGAGAAGCCCAAAACTGGACACCAGAATCTAGATGTGTCCTCACTATACAAAGAGGGAAAGAACTACCTTCCTTGACCTGCTCACAACACTGCTGGCCTTCTCAGCTGCAAAGACCTTTGCTGCCAGCGAGCCTTCCAGTCAGGCAGTCCCCATGCTGTACTGGTGCAACGATGTCATTCCTTCCTGGGTGCAGGACTTGTCCTTTCTCTTTGTTCAACTCCATGAGATGACTATCAGTCCATTTTTCCCATCTGCTGAGGTTTCTCTAAATGGCAAAACACTCCTTTGGTGGACCAGCCTCTCCCAACAGTTGGTTCTCTATTTTCTGCAATTTGCCGAGGGTTCAATCTGTCCCACTATCTATGTCACCAATGATGATGTCCAATAGTATTGGCCTCAGTATTGATACTCTAAAGACAATGTTATGTCTGAAGAAAAAATTGTAAATTCACACTAAAAAGTGTATTTCTCATCCTCCATCTTCAAAAAAATACTGTCCTTGTGTAGCAATCTGTATAAAAAATATTAACTTCATTCCAAAGTAGGGTTTTGTTCTTTGACTCCACTAGAAGAGATGCACTAATTTTTACTAGAATTCTTTGCTCAATTACTTGGCATTGTAGCCTTCCATAACACTTTCTTAACTAGTAAGATTCTTAATTGTTGCAGAATTTTTGGTAACATCCAGCTAACTACACTTGCTACTTGACATTGGGAAGCTGATCTTCCACCCATGTTTTTATATAAGCTACATATTGTGAAAATCTAATTCAACTCCTGAGGCCTACAGACAGAAAATACGTTTTCAAAGCTAACAGAAGCACCTCTACTGTATGTAGATCTTCAACCCATTAAAATAGGAAGCTGCGTATGCTTAAATAAACAGTATTTTGCCCATAAGCCTCCAAAACAACATGGACATTTCATATAACACAAATAGAATATTCAGAAAACATTGCACCATCTTTTGCCTTCTATGAACCTTGCACTCGTGAATTTTGAGGACTAAAGGAATTCTGCTTTTGTTTAGTGAAATTATTATAATTCATAAAACTCTTCCCAATTCATCTAGCACTTCAGGATCTCAAGGTAACAAATATAACTTGTTATTTAAATCTAACAATAGTACTGAACTTCTTAATTCCTGAGGTATCAGAAAGCACCTTATCCACCAAAGATTATGAACTCAGCTGCAACGCTTTTAGAATATGCATGAGTTTGACCATTTAGGGAGTGATTATAAAATCACAGCCTCCTTTTGCTGTACTGAATGTAACCAGAATTCCACCCAGTTAAGCTTCCCTCAGCTTCCCTCCAACAGCTACATTAACTTCATTGTTTTCCTGGTTACTATCAGCAGTGTTAAGGAATGTTTCTTTTAACTTATACCTGGCCATCTAGTCAGCTAAACAAGGTATCCATATCTTCCAACTGAATATTCACCTTGTGAAAGGTTAGCCAGCCAGGTGACATGCTTGCCTCCTTGCAGTTCAGCCACCCAGCCAGGAAGTGGCAAGTACTATCAAACAACTGTTCACAAGATCTACAGACCAATACCATGCAGTATGGAAGTGACAAAAGAACTGTGTAACAGTGACTCAAACCTTCATCAGGGCAAAGATGATGTGTGATGCTGGTCAGAACTTTTGCCTGTTTGCAACATGTAGAAATGGCACAAGAATCACCTACTTACTGTCCTCAAGGACTATACTGTATGGTTATGCGTAAATCAAGCATCAGCAGCCCAACACGAAACCATGTTCCATGAGGCATCATACAGAGCTTTTTATAATAGATTTTACTTTACAGGAAAATAAAAAAACCAGAAATAATACAAATTTATTTAGTAGGAGACACGGTGATATCAATACATAAAAGTTAGGATGGTGCCTCACTAAACTGACAAGTCAAAAAAAGCATGAAAAATTCTAAACAAACCTGCTGGAGCTACGAGATCTTCTTGAAGAGCTATAGCTTCTTGGGGGTGTTCTGGATCTCTTATCTTTCTTCTTTTTATCATCCCTCTCCTTTTCTCTTTCTCGCTCTTTTTCCTTATCCCCATCTTTTTCCTTTTCTTTGTCCCTGTCCTTCTCTTTGTCCTTATCTCCTTCTTTGTCCTTAATCTTTTCTCTGTCCTTCTCTCCTTCTTTCTCAATATCTTCTTTTTCTTTGTTCTGGTCTACCTCTTCCTTGTCTTTTTCCTTCTCTTTATCTTTTTCCTTTTCCCTGTCCTTGTCCCTCTGTCTGTCTTTGTCCTTATCCTTGTCCCTGTCCCTATCTTTTTCTCGGGGTCTCTCTCTATCTTTGCTTCGCTCCTTATCTCTCTCCTTGTCCTTGTCTCTGTTTCTCTCTTTATCTCGCTCTCTTTCCCTGTCTTTTTCTCGGTCCCTATCCTTCTCCTTGTCTCGGTCTCTTTCTTTGACCTTTTCCTTTTCCTTGATCTTTTCTTTGTCTCTTTTCTTGTCCCTGTGAAAAGCCAAACACAAACCCATTAATTCATCTTTGAACTTTCCAATTAAAATTACAACTAACTTTTAGTATACATTAAGACAAAGTTTGCGTCTCTGTTGAAAAACAGTATCTCTTCAATATTTTAATTTTCCACCCTTGTTTACCATGAGGGAAAGGTTATATAGCTAGGATAAATTTGGGAATCAAATTGGAGAAGGGGAAGTCAAAATCAAATCAAACCACTATCTTCCAAGTGATGTTATTATGTTTGGAGAAAGTATGTCTCTTCATCTCACACTTACGTAATTATACATACATCAATTTTCTATATTTTCTTAGGAGTAAGACAAACTCTACAATCTGTAAATTCACTCTTTACTAGAACTGTGTCCACATAAAATGGGCCTCAGATTAACCACTCCCAAATGAATAAGACCGAAGTCTTTATTCTACATGTTCTCGCACACAGATATCCTTGAACTGTTTGGAAGTTCAACAACAATAAATATATAGAAATAAAAAGAAAACATGGATAAAATTTCACCAGATTCTCTCAAAAGGCAAATATAAGATCAAAACTCAATCAAGACAATTCAATCATCTGTAATGTCATTAGGAATTTGAAAATTATTGAAAAATTGCTAGTACAGCAAAACCAGAAGCAAGGAAAATAGCTTCTTTGGAACAGGCAGAACGATAGACATTCATGAAAAGAATAGTGAGAAAAATTCCAACCCATGTTCTAGTCATCAAGTCAAACAAAAATTTATTAGCTCACAGCTTTGGCTAGAAGATTACATTTTAGTGTAGGATTATTTGAAAGTGCAAGACTCCATCTTTCCTCTCTAGCACAGAGACAAAAGAACAATTGTTCACAGAGAGAAATAGGAGAAAGCACAAGAGGAGAAATTGACTAGCAGGCCTTTACACGTCAAAAAGAACCAGACTAACAGAAGTTGCTCTGTCTACTGGTATTAGTATCTACTCTAGATTCTTATAGATTCTAAAAGAGACTTCTTCACACATGAAAGGTCCTAAGTGCAGCCCTCACCTTCTCTCAAACTGAGGAAGTGTTTGACTGTATCTTCTCAACTACTAATGAACAGTAGACTGTTGTACGCTCAGTGACCTGACAACTTTGATTCCCATAAGGTTCTGGCAAATACTTCTTTAGGAATCTCAGAGAAGGAATGTATCACAAAGACAAAACAGCATACAGTCTCTGCAATACCAAAGAACCTCCCAAGAAGTGCCTTCCAGTTAATTTATCACAGACATTTCATTGGACTTGCCCCTTCCAGTGAGCAGATGTCTCAAGAAGCTCCAGACAGCAACAAGAGAATCAAAAAGATCCACCAATAAAACCCAGCTTATTTTCAGTGAGGTCCACAGATCTGCAGTTCTCATTCCCACAAAACTTCTTCCCTCAAAGAACAGTAGGCAACTGCATAACTCAAGTACAAAGCTCCCTTCAAATGAATCAGGGGAATTACAGACAGGAAACAGAAAGAAAGCACCAAGATTTCTAGTCATGAAGCTACTTCCCCAGGCACTTTTGGTTTGAGATTATTCACTACTTCATCCCTCAGAAAATTATGCTATTCTCTTATTGGAATTTCACAGTTCAATAATTAGACAATCAGACATAAAAACTAATAGGCTAGATAAAGTACAGATGTATTACATCCTGAAATATAAATATGCCATATAACAGACACGTGCATTTGTTCCTGCTGTTTGGCATATGATAAAGTCAGAGGTGAAAACAAAAGCTCATACACAAAAACTTTATACTACTTCTCAGAATACAGGATATCAAGGTCAGTTTGGATTCAACCTTCTCAACATATACACATTGAAAAAGCTTCACCCACTTTTTTGTGGCTTATACAAGCTACACAGAATATTCCTAATCTATTTGTTATAGTCTGAATTAAAGTTATTTTCAGTCAGATGGGATGTTGGCATAAACGCAGACTAGGCTATCAAGTTCAGGTACCTCAGTGTGGTTGCTTAACTGCAGGTATCATGCAGGCTACAAGGAAGAAAATTATCCTAGCCAAGATCACCACACTCAGCATCAAAATTTACTTTCTGTTGTTTGTCCAACAGACAAGATTCCACCTTTTATGATCATCTAAAAGGTTTAATTTTTTTTCAAAAGCTCTGTACTGTGAGGTAACAGTATCATTTCGTGGAACAGAACTCACCGAGAATGAGAGCGACTTCTTGATTTCCGCCTTTCCGAAGATCTAGACCGTTTTTTCAGGGGACTCCTGGATCTGCGTCTGTCCTTGTGTCTTGAGAGAGATCTGTTGCCTGATCTACTTCTATATGAAGGATGCCAGAACAAAAATATTTTAATATTGGAACCTCATAAAAATGGGGTCAACCAACAAAGGAAAATTTACATAAATCTTGCTTCACCACATACTACTATATAAATAATTACACTTTAGTAACATACTGTCTACAAACATTTTTGCAAATATGGGTGCTTTATGCTTCACCAGATGCACATACTCTTCTTTGAAACAACGAACCATTGAAGTTATACTCATGTTTCATAATAATCTCCATGAACATTCTGGAAAATATAAATTAATATAATTTACAACAGCTATCCTTAAGAAATGACACTGCATAAAAAGCTGTGATTTGCAATTTCTAGCAGCTTGTAAAAGTAATTAGTTACAGATTATTTCCTTTCCAGGCCCAGCCACTTATTGAAGTCTTTGTCAGTGAAGAAAGCTGGCTTTGGCTGCATCAGTGTTCTCCACCCTTACCATTTAAATAAATAAAAACCCCAACAACCTGTGATTCAGCTTTTAGTCAAGTTACCTTTTTAGTTGAGAGGATTTGTTAGCATGGATTGCAGTTATAAGAATTTCCAGGGAAAGGAAAGAGCGTTTACTACACGATAAATAAGGAATGTAAATAAAGTAGAGATACTCTGATAAAAAAATGCAATTAAAGTCTTCTGCAGATCTGACGAAGAAAACAACACTTTTAGGTTTCCCTATTTTTGGAAAATCATTTTCCCCAGAAAAGCAAAAATAAAGAGCTGAATCTGCACATTAAGTTTCATAACTCAGGTAGATTTCGGCCTACTCAGAAGACTGGTTCAGAGGGCACCTTGGGAAACAGCCCTTGAAAACAAATGAGTCCAGGAGCGATGGACATGCTTCAAGAAACAAGTCTTGAACGCACAGCAGCAGGCTGTCCCAGTGTGTCAAAAGGCCAACCTGGCTGAATATGGAAAAAAGGGCTGGCTACTCAGGAGGAGTTTAGGAATATAGTTAGGTCATGTAGAAAGAAAATTAGAGAGACAAAGGCACAATCTGAACTCAATCTAGCCACTTCTGTTAGGGGTAACAAGAAGTACTTCTACAAATACATCAACAGCAAAAGGAGGGGCAAGGAAAACCTCCAGTTCTTTGTCGGACATAGGGAGGAACACAGTCACCAAAGATGATGAAAAGGCTGAGGTACTTAACACCTTCTTTGCCTCAGTTTTCACCAGTAAGACAGGTTGTCCTCAGGACAGGTTGTCCTCAGGAACAACTGCCTCCAGAGCTGGCAGACAGAGTCAGGAAGCTGAATAGCCCCCCTGTAATGCAGGAGGAAATAGCGATCTGCTGAGCCACTTGGATCCGCACAAGTCTATGGGACCAGATGGGATTCACCGAAGGGTGATGAGGGAGCTGGCAGAAGAGCTCGCCAAGCCGCTCTTCATCATCTACCAACAGTCCTGGCTCACTGGGGAGGTCCCAGATGATTGGAAGCTGGCGAATGTCACTCCAATCCACAAAAAGGGCTGTAAGGAGGACCCAGGAAACTACAGGCCTGTCAGCTTGACCTCAGTGCGTGGCATGGTTATGGAGCAGATCATCCTAAGTGCAATCACACAGCACCTATGGGATGGACAAGGGATCAGACCCAGCCAACACAGGTTTAGGAGGGGCAGGTCCTGCCTGACCAACCTGATCTCCTTTAATTATCAGGTGACCCGCCTGGTGGATGAGGGGAAGGCTGTGGATGTGGTCTACCTGGACTTCAGTAAAGCCTTTGACACCACCTCTCACAGCATACTCCTAAAAAAGCTGTTAGCCCATGGCTTGGACAGGGGCACTCTGTGCTGGGTTAGGAACTGGCTGGAGGGCCGGGCCCAGAGAGTGGTGGTGAACGGTGCTGCATCCAGCTGGCAGCCGGTCACTAGTGGTGTCCGCCTGGGATTGGTGTTGGGCCCAGTTCTATTTAATATCTTTACTGATGATCTGGATGAGGGGATTGAGTGTACCATTAGCAAATTTGCAGATAACACCAAGTTGGGGGGGAGTGTTAATCTGCTGGAAGGCAGGAGGGCTCTGCAGAGGGACTTGGACAAGCTGGAGAGATGGTCTGATTCCAATGGGATGAGGTTCAACAAGGTCAAGTGCCGGGTCCTGCACTTTGGCCACAACAACCCCATGCAGCACTACAGGCTGGGGACAGAGTGGTTGGAGAGCAGTCAGGCAGAAAGGGACCTAGGAGTTTGGACTGACAGGAAGTTGAACATGAGCCAGCAGTGTGCCCAGGTGGCCAAGAAGGCCAATGGCATCCTGGCCTGGATCAGGAACAGCGTGGCAGCAGAAGCAGGGAAGTGATTCTTCCCCTGTACTCAGCGTTGGTGAGGCCACGTCTAGAGTACTGTGTCCAGTTCTGGGCCCCTCAGTTCAGGAAGGATATTGAGGTGCTGGAGGAGGTCCAGAGAAGAGCAACAAGGCTGGTGAAGGGACCTGAGCACAAGTCCTGTGAGGAGAGGCTGAGGGAGCTGGTGTTGGTCAGCCTGGAGAAGAGGAGGCTCAGGGGAGACCTCATCACTCTCTACAACTACCTGAAAGAAGGTTGTAGCCAGGTGGGCGTCAGTCTCTTCTCCCAGGCAGAAGGACAAGAGGGCATGGTCTTAAGTTCTGTCAGGGGAGGTTTAGGTTGGATATTAGGAAGAAATGTTTTACAGAGAAAGTAATTGGAATGGGCTGCCCAGGGAAGTGGTGGATTCACCGTTCCTGGAGGTTTTTAAGATGAGACTGGATGTGGCACTTAGTGCCATGGTCTAGCAACCAAGGTGGTGTTGGATCAAGGGCTGGGCTTGATGATCTTGGGAGGTCTTTTTCAACCCAGTCAATTCTATGATTCTATACCACATAATTGGATACTCTGCCTGAGAGGTTAAGGTACCATGAAGTTTAACTTATGAAAGACAGAAAGATCACATATATTATCACATGTAATATACACAAAGACAAGGGGAAGCCATTGTTTACCTTCAGCTTTGTTCTGCTTATCAACACAGAAGCACAAACCAACAGCAGGGCCAATTAATGGCAATTGAATGAAAGCACAAGCTTGAATAAATTTTAAGTCACAAGAGATGAAAATGATGTGTTTTATAAAAGAGTAAACAGGGAAGTGGTAAGGATAGATTATTCTTGCACTTCTAAAGTCGGTACTTGTGCCATATTTATTTGATAGTATAATTGATTATAACTCCTTCTGGCCAGCTTTTCCGTATGTAAAAGAATCCTAGTTGCCTCGTTAAAAGACATGCATGAAAGGATGCAACAGAGCTATTGATGCAATAGGGACAACACCTTTTTAAAGTGTAAGCTATCAAATGGAATAATTCCAATTTTTTTTTTAAATACTTAACAAAGCCAAATATCTTTAGATTGATTACCTAAATGCTCAGAAGACATTCCTGACATTGCAAGGAGACGGATCATTTCAGGAAGTGTTTATAACTCTTACATAGCAAGACTGTTTAATTCTTGGAAAAAATCTTAACTGGTACACTTCAAGGATGATCTAATAATTCTCTCCTATCCCATATTCCAAAGCCTGAAGTTCTTCAGAACTGAAGAAATTTAGCAATGCAAACAAAATCTGAAGAATGAAAAATTGCCCCTAAAGCCTTTTTCCTATGTTTTTAAAAACCACAGCTTTACATTTACAAGATGGTAAATAAAACCATTGTATTTATTAACTCAGTATTTAGAAGTTCACGACAATACGAATTTTATACTAGCAAAACCAGCCAGCCTATCTGCTCAGGGTGTTACCAGTAAACTACATGCCCAATTCACCAAATGCAAGTTTCTTAAGACAGGTCATAAAATCCTATTATGCAACATAGCATAAAATGTACAAAGAAACCACAGAAATTTTTGTTACATGGCACAAAAAGTGTCCTCTAGTGTGTTTTAACTGAAAGTAATCCTGAAAACATTTAGTATTTACAGGGAAAGGGTATCTGTTCAGACACAAAGTTCCTGGTAACTCTGGTCTGCTGAGTGCAAGCTAGTAACCTCTTCGGGATACTTGTCCTATAACTAAGAAACCTCAGTAACCACCATCAAGCAAAAAATTCCCAATATGATCTTAGTCTGAAACAAAAAACATACCTACCTGTGTTTTGAGTGTGATCTTTTTCTTCTAGATCGGGATTTTGAGCTAGACCTGGATTCTGAACGAGAATGGGAACGAGATCGACCGCCTTTTCTTTCACTGCTCTTTCCAGACTCTGAGAGGAAAAAACCACTTTGCAGTGTAAGCTCAGAACATTTAAAGATCCAAGTTAACAATCTGGCACAAGTGGAATGCACCACATGTACTGCAAGGGGCCTACTCTCTGCACATCTTCCTTCTTTGCAAATATCCTTCAGAAACATCCAAGAAAGTCATTGGATATACTCGTTGAGTGCAGCCATCCTGCAGCAGTACACATAAACCAGATAATTATAAACAGCTAGCTCTACTAAGAATGGGATTTATGTTGCTGCCACAAAGCACAAGATCATAACACGTCTTCCTCTTGGTCTATTATTTAATTATTTTTTTTAAATAACCTGAGAATAATAGAGTAAATTTAGAGGGCGTAATTTTAAAAACAAGCATAAAATTTAAATAATAATTAGTACTGTCTACACTTTTAGATATTTCAACCACTGTACAAATACAAAAATTTTATTCCTCAAACACTGTTTCATGGGAGGAAGGAATGAACAGAACAGGGGGAAAAGTCTGATCTGAAAACCAGGAAGTCAACAGAAACCTTAATAGTGATCTCACAATGGTTCACACTACAGGAGACTCTTATTCTGTTGCTTAACAGTGAAAAAATGTTAAAGCTATTTTTATTCCAACTCTAAAATGCAACAGAAAACACTCCTCCCCAAAAAACCCTCAAGACTCCACCCCATCTAATCTACATAAGACAACATCTGGGTTTGCTAGTACAAAGAATGGCAAAAAGTTGCTGGTGAAAAGAATTAGGATCTCAACAGCAAGTTTGGTAAGTTGAGAATTTTTATGCTATGGTTTTGCAATAGTTTAACCCAGCATAAATCAGCATTGGAATGTCTGTCTAACCTCTCAACACACAAACACCTTCCTCTTTGACTTTGCATCTGTGTCAGCAGGGAATAAGGAAACAATCTGGATGAAAACAAGTCTTCTAAAATATTTTAAGTTTTATCCCAGATTCATTCTCTGATCCCATTTGTTATGAGGATGTATACAGTCTTGAGGCATCATGAAAAAGAGACAAAATTAACCTGCTGCAGATAAGGAAAGCATAATATTACTGCTTTCAGAACCATGCTGATCATTAAACTATGGCACTCATGCGTGCTAGAGGAGAACAAAAAAAATATAAAGCATTTTCTTTTAAAAGTTTCCACGTACTCTGAACTTAAAAGTGTCATCAAAGTATCGATTTGTAAACATTTTTATTTTTGAAAACATTAATTGAACATGTATGTGAAAAAAACACATGAAATAAAAAGCTTCATTCCACTACTTTGTTGCATGAATAAAATTTTGATTATTCTCCTATTTTTTACCAACACATACTGAATACCTTTAAGTATCCTTTTCCTGTGTCTGAAAATGCTCTTAAAAGTGTGTGCCAAGGCACATAGAGATTGCATCTGCTAGCTAATGAACACAATATACCTACCTGGCTCAATAGCAGCAGATATGAAAGACTGGGCTTCCCTTACTCTCTTCATCACTTCTTCCAGCTCCTTAGCAGCAGCTTGTGGTGTCATTTCAGGAGGCTTCACTATTGCATTATTGGAGTGATTTATTCTAAGGAAAATAAAAACATTTAATTCTTAAACACTTGAAAAGTAAAAAAGAAAAACAAGTAAGAAAGAAAAACATCCCATCTTCCATGTACGACTAAAAACTTTAAAGTTCAGCAAAACTACAGATTTGTGCTAATACTCATTTTTTCCAAGTATCTGAAGTATCTTTTGTTACTTTGAAATATTACCACTTTTAGAAACAGGCAGCACAATATTTCTCTGTTACAGTATTTTTAGTAGAAGTCTAGGAAGCTACTTCTCTATTTCATATAAAATCTCTATGCTAAGACCTACTAATTACATACGCGTCATACAGAAAACTTAGTCCTGAGGACTTTGCAAATTCTTTCACTCTTACAGCTTCTACTACCTCAAGAATAATAGATATATATTTTACTCAATGCTACCCATATTATTCTGAGAGAAATTTATGCTAAACCTTGAAATTGGAATTGATAAGAATGTTCCAGTTTGTTAACATTAAGCTCTCATACTGAAAAACTAGTCACAGCATTTTCCTACACATCAGAGTCATAAACATATATACAAGGATACAAAGAAATCTCTCATTCAGTAGTCATATGGATAACTAATTTCTTACTTCAGTGGCCTGTCTCCAAACATAACTCCATTAAAGGCAAGAGCTCGAGGTACAGAATTTTGGTCAGCAAATTCCACAAAAGCAAATCGCGTTGGTTGAGTCTCATCACCTGCCATTCGCACAAATTTGACTTCTCCAACTTGCTTGAAGAATTCAAGCAGCTGATCTGCTGTTGTAGTCTAGAAAGAGACAAAAAAGTAAAATATATAACAAAAACCACTTACAGAATATACCCGGTAGTCTAAGAGCTACAGATTTTGGAATGATGTCTCACCATTACTACACAGGTGGCATGAATTTAGTAATGTTACACTGTAAAAAAAAAAAAAAAAGACGTATTTTTTTTTCCATTAATCTAAAGAATTCATGCTTTATGGTGAACTTGCCACTGGCTGCCACAAGAGAGGAGCCCCAAAGAGGAGATACAAGGACTCCCTGAAACAACATCTCAGTCTTGGCCACATTGATCATCATCATTGGTCTACTCTGGCCTCCACAAACAACAGGTTAGCAAAGGCATATAGTGCTTTCGGAAAACTCCATAAAAGAGTATAGCGTAATAAACACTTGAAGAAAAGTACAAAGATCAGTGTTTACAAAGCCATAGTGCTGTCTACTCTTTTATATGGGTCCAAATCATGGGTCATCTATCGCCACTACCTGCGTCTCTTAGAACGCTTCCACCAACGCTGTCTCTGTACAATCCTTAACATCCACTGGTCAGATTACATGACCAATACATCTGTTCTAGAACAGGCAGCAGTCACAAGTATTGAGCCCATGTTGCTGAGAACACAGCTGCGTTGGGCAGGACACGTCTCCAGGATGAAAGATCACCACCTCCCGAAGGTCTTGCTTTATGGTGAACTTGCCACTAGCTGCCGCAAGAGAGGAGCCCCGAAGAAAAGATACAAGGACTCCCTGAAACAACATCTCAGCCTCGGCCATATTGATCAGCATAACTGGTCTACTCTGGCCTCCAACGGGAGGCCTGGAGACACACCATCTATAATGCTGCTGTTTCCTTTGAGAACGCACACAGGATCACTCTCAAGGAGAAAAGACAATGCAGAAAGAACTGTGTCTTGCAGAATATACCACCTAAGGAGTCCTTCTGCTGTGCCTTTTGCAATTGGATATGTCTATCTCATATTGGCCTTATTAGCCACCAGCGCGCTTGTAACAAATGTGGATAGAGCCTTTCCCAAATCTTCATTCGCGAAGCCTAGCCATGATGGTGACTCTAGCCTCCCATTGGGAGGCCTGGAGACACACAATCCATAACGCTGCTGCTTCTTTTGAGAAAGCACGCAGGATCACTCTCAAGGAAAAAAGACAACGCAGAAAGAATCGTGTCTTGCCGATACCATCCATGGAGTCTTTCTGCTGGTGTCTTTTGCAACTGGATTTGTCTATCTCGCATTGGCCTCTTTAGTCACCAGCGCACTTGTAGTAAATGTGGGTAGAGTCCTTCCCAAATCTTCATTCACGAAGCCTAGCCATGATGATGGAATCTAAAGAATATTCTATGATTTAAAACAGTGCAGCCACAAGCCCTTAGTTCTTCATCTAGGTTAAAAAAAAACACATTTGCACAGGATTTTGCACTTTTCAGGCAACTCATCTGAAATAACTGATGAGGAATTTCCTTATACACCTGTATCCAAGTTGATTGTGACTTTTGATCAATTAAAACAAAAATATCCAAACAATATTAAAAGACTTAGCTTCATCTGGCTATTATTTTTCAGTTCATCATGATCAGTAGTACTTTTACACTCAGTAGCTATTTTACCAGTCAAAAAAACCCAAAATGTAATACTTATATTGCTATCAGTCAAAAGCAAGTATTTTTCAATTCATTCAATCAACTGCTGAAAAATCAAGTTGATGACTGAAAGGTATTTATGCTAATATTGCAACTTCCACTAAGACACATCACTCCATCTTACTCTATCTTACTAACCAACTTCACAGTGCTGTGGGAGACAGCTACCACGATCTCATGACTTCTGAGGCATTTGATCAGCACACACAACTGTTAAGTATGTTTCTTAAATTCAGCTACAGTGTGACTTCTCTGACACAATGAATTCCAGAGCCTGGTCTGATCTGATTGGCACAGGAGCATTCAAAATATCATGAATAAGCAACAAAATTTAGGGGGTTTTGTTTAAATTTGTGTTGCTGTTTACTGATGTAAAATCTTTAACAGTTAAGATTAGAATTCATAAATTACAATTTCACACCTTCCATTAGTATTTCCACAACACAAAAAACCCAAAAAGCTACCTGGGAATTTAAGTTTCCAACATAGACTGTTCTCCTGATTTCATCAATTTTGGATGGATCCACATTTCCCATAATTGGTGGTTGTGGTATTTCTCCCAGTGCTGTAATGTTAGGGTCCAATGCTGCTGCTGGTATAGCCCCTAAAGTGCCAAGTGAAACACCAAGCTGGAAAACACAAAACAGAATACACTTTCCAACCACACACTAGTGGGAGACAATTCACTTCTTAATACTTGCCTGCCTTGACCATTTGTATATAAATAGATGTAATAAAAATAGGCAGTACTTTAAGGTCACAGTACAGCAAGTTTTTTTACAGAACAAAAATATACCCATACATAGCCTTCTATAGTTAAGATTTGCTGTGGGTTATCAATTGACATCTCATCAAAGAGCTCTGGACAGGGACCAGTGTATATGTAGTGTATCAATCACAAAACATATAGGCTTCAATTTTTAATGCTTAGATTAAGATACCTTCAGACACTGCTAACGTTCTTATTTTTTTGACACAAGAAGTATTTGGACTAGATGAGGAATAGCCAAGACCTTGCCCAGCAAGGATAGAAGGTAATTTGCAGTGCTCAGTGCCAACAGATATGAGTCCATCAAAAGGAAACATAAGGCACCTTTTGGACAAATAAACCATGTAAGTCAAGATTAATTACAGCTGAAATGCAAAGGATATTCAGTCTAAGTTCCTTCCCTCACTCCTAGAGGAAAATATATCTCTCATGTTTGGAACTGGACATTGAACTCTCTCCTAGGAAATGTTAGAAAAAGTCTCTTAAAAATCACTACAAAGTTGGCCCACTGAGTTCCTGGTTTGAATTTTATTTTCTCTACCCAAAAAGCAACTGCCTTTCCCATAAACAAATTTTCTAACTAGCCATGAGTAATTTTTTTATGTAACAAAGGAAAAAACTGCTCTATTTTAACTTGAAATTTTCCCTGCAGCTTGCTGATGTCCAGAAAGGCTTACAGAGGCAAAAGGGAATTGAGCAGAAGTAGCAGCTGTAGATACCTCTGTAGAGGTATCAAGTAAAGTCTCTCTACTGCAGCAGTTTAATATTCTGAAGAATGGTGTCAATGTAACTATTATGTTTTAATACATTTTTAGGAGGTGGATAGCACTTCCACTTGACCAAATAAAAGGCTCTAGGGCAGGACAACAATTAAAATGGACAACCCCCAAAACCAATATTTACCCACTGTTTTGCAAAATAATAATCTGAAAGAAAAATCCAGAAACATCGTGCATGGACATCTGAATCCTCAGCAAGCCTTTAGCACCACAGCTAAACTCTCACTGCAAAATCCATGGATCAGATAGTTCTTGTTCTCTGCACACAGAAAAGGCTAGAACACAGAGGAAACCAGAAATTAAACAGCTACTGAATTTTACTTACTGTAGTCAAAGGGGTTGGTGTAGGTATAGGAAGCAACCCTGCACCAGGCATTAGACTTGTCATAGTAGGAGCAGGCGCCAATAGAGAGAGGGCTTTGGCTTCATCTGGGATTTTACCTGAAGAAGCAAATAAAAACATTACACAGAGTTGGAACACTAGACAGATGTTACTCTTTCTATGATTTTACAATTACCCTTGCATTTAAAAATGTAATAAATAACAATGAATCTATCTACCAGATCCTTACAAAGAAACAAATAAGAACTTAAGTTTTTCCTTTTACCCTGCTCTACTAGGAAAAACAAAAGTGAGAAAAATTTCAAAGACTAGCAATCTCATTAATGGATTATTATTTTAAAAACTGAATAATGTATACAATTATTTAACACTTTGAGCTATGGGTCACCTGTACTGGAAACTTAACGTTCATGAACCAAACGATATCAAGCATGGACGCTTTCCCAGGGCGGTGTTTTCGCGGTGATCGAAAGTTGTTTTACACATGACAACCGTTCGTGTTGGCTGCATCACTAATAGCACACAGAACATCAGATACAGAAAAGAAGAACATTTTTTAAAGTTTAATCCCCAGAAATGGCAAATAACCAAATCAGTAAAAGAAAGAAAAACAAAAAAAGAAAAAAACAAGTATGTGCTAACTGAAATTTGCGCTCTTCTTTATTCCTCTGGTGCTACCTACTTAGAATGTAAAAATAAGTAAAACATAAAATAAAAAAACTACTGAACTACAGTGACTGCACACAATAAATACTACAAGTGAACCTGAAGGTGGAGGATGGAAGAGCAGAAAAAATTTAGATTTGTACTGTCCCACATTGCAGGTCACCTCAGTTTACGGGTAACTTAGATAAATTTACTTTAAATTTACTGAGACTGAAGATCATACCTGATCAGCTAAGCAAGCTCTATTTTCCCAGAATATGTATTCCCTGCTATTTCAACCTGATTATAATCCTACTGCCGTGCTAAAAGTTTAAGTAATAACTAATCCGAATTAAATGCAGGTTTCATTCAATGTTAGTCACAATTAGACAATTAAATGAACCCAAAAAATATCCAAAAATCAAAAGATTTAATAGTCAAACAATTAGGATTACAATTAAATGTACATTTTAAATTTGAAATGCAAAGGGATTTAAACTGGTACAAACATTAAACACTAAAATAAAAACCTACCAAAAGAAGTTCTAATTATAATAGATATCTATGATCTGTTCAACATTACTGGCGTAACTGTACACTTGCTAACCAGCTAAGCCCTTTGGTATTACCACATGAACCATAATAAAGTAAATGCTCTTATTTAAACATTGTTCTAATGGTCAAGGAACATACAAAAGCTGTGCCAGTGGCTTTTACTGCTTTGATTCAAACTATGCATGTTTTAACTTACAAGACCTCTAAATTCAAAATTAAAATACAAATATTCTTATCAAAAAGCAAAACATGAGGTATGTTTCAAAACACCACGCAGTTTTAGCTATATGACTTCCAACTGACCCCATGGAAACATACTACTTTAAAAAAGGAAATTAAAAAAATTTTGGAAACCTATTTTACAGATCTGCAGGAAAGACTGGGTTACAGTTGGATATGACCAAAGGACAAAAAATATCTAAATGAAATTGAATTTGTACATAGCATGGGTAGAACAGAAGAGATAAAGTAACAGTACCCATTTAATTACATGCTTCCTATTTACATTTATTTTATTTATGTTAAATTTTGAGACACCTTCCTCCTTAACATGTAAGAAACCACTTGATTTTGCTATCTAAAGGAGAAAAATAGGAAAATTGTTAGCACTTGTGCAATAATGAATTCCAGAGCTTTTTTTAAAAAACATGCATGAATCTAAGCCAGCATTACAATGTTCAGCGCCCTTCACAGATCTCATTTTGAAGTCAGGTGTACCTGACTGCTCAAAAGTATCCCGTACTTTGCTGCATACCCTGCCTAATATGCTGCCAACTAAAAGGCTTTTGAATATATAGTTCCAGCACCTGTGCATGCTAATTAGGCACAGAATTATGTACCAATTCTTCTGAAAAACTACATACTTAAGTGTTTTCAAATGACTAGTGAACCAGAATTTATCCTGAACAGTGAATATCTTGCAATTTGTGCAGGTTTCTATAGATCAAGAGACATTGCACAAGTAAATCCCACGGCAGACATGGCTCCTAAAGTGGTGTGTCTGCATGCTAATTGAGATCCTTGGTCCGTAATGTACATAAGCATATGCCTAATTCAAGCATGCACTTACATACAGCCAATTCAACACACACTTAACCAGGTAAACTTACAATATGCTTAGCCACTTAGCCCTTTTAAACAGGAATTGAGTTAGGTACATAACTAAGAAGGACAATGAGTCAAGACTTAAACAGAAGCCTAAACTTCAAGTATATGCATCACGGCATTGAAATAATTGGAACTACTAATTTGCTCAAGTGTTGTTAAAGGAATCCACTGAACATTTCAGTTCCATTCACCATTATAGCAGCTCAGAGAATGACGAGCATGCATATGTAAATTGTAAAGTTTGCAGCATTATTTCCAGAATACTTTGGTCTTTAACAATGTAAAGTTTTAAAATACAAAATCTAGTCCATCAGTTCAATACCACAAAAAAAGATTATTTGTTTTGTTTTCAAGAAAGAGAAAGGGTCTATCTCTACAGACACAACCCAGAAAATTTGCCTGGATATTCAAAGATAGCGTCTTTTCAAAATATATTTTCCAGTTTTTAAGACCAGGCCAAAATTCTATGGCACACTGTTGTGGGGAAATAAAAATCTGAAATGTCTTAGAAACCTACTTCCCTGTTTTTTAAACAGTTTTAAAAAACAAATTAATATGCGAGACCAAATACCCTCATGAGTTACAGGCTTTAAATTTTGGAGTTTTATCTCTGTGAATTTTTTTATAAAAGGAATAGAAGCTCACAAAAATACAAAAAAATATGTGGAGTTTGACACAACAGATTAGTATAATTTAGTTTAAAAATAATACTTTAATTTTTAAAACATGGTATTTAAAACCTGAATGGAAATGAGGTGAAGATATTTACTTTCTAATGAAGGAAACAGACAATATAAATATGCCACATCTACACCCTATTTCTTAGAAGCTCTTCTGCTTAGTAAATTACAATTTCTATGATCGATTATTTATTGATTCTTCACTTTGCAAAGGAATCTGGAAGCAAATGTAGATTAGCTCAGCATTGCCTATAGACAGTTGTGATTGCTACTTTTTTGTATCATCAAAGTCTTAAGAGCCGTAGTAAGCCTAGTCCACACCAGAAGCCATTTTGATGAAGGCTGAATAGACGTACTTGCATTAAACAAGTACTAATCACAGTATTTTGTCCTCAAGTGCTCAGAAAAAATTAATTTCCTACTCTTTGTAGTGAAACTACACAGTTAATCCTCACCCCCAAAAATGTGTCTGCATTAAGTTTGTTTTTTAAAAATACTGTTCACATCTACTCTAAACATAATAGTACTTATTTTCCTTCTATTTTAAATCAATGGAACATGTACACTTACAAATAAAATACTTTGTGTGATCCAACTTATGAATCTTAGTGGATTTAGCAGCAGTGAAGAAAGACATGACAGCTACTGGCAATTACCTCAACCGCCAAATCCAACAAACATCATCAAGCAAAGCTCTTTTCAGAGTGAAACCAATAGATCCCAATGCAGCAGGCTGGGAAGAGCAATGCCTGAAGACTAGACACAGCACCTTGTCCACCACTTCTGTTTCAGGGCTCCCATTTCACAGGAAGTGAAAACATCATTTAGGGATGAGAACCATCTCAATCACTCCAGCATGAACTGCCAGGGCTTCTGAGACTGTGAGATGATGGAGAAAACACTTTTTTTCTGACTTTTTTTTTTTAAACCTCTTCTTCAAATAATTACCACTGCAGCATGTCAAAAATGCAAGCATATACATACATACACACACACACACAGAGAGAACTGATTCAGTCTTCTCACAAATAACAGTGTTTAAAGACAACGTGTCTCACGTAACACATTCCAACCAAAACTCCAGGCTGCATTTGTACTTATGAGTGGTAAACAGTCTTTTCTGAAAATTACAAGAAGAAAAGGATGAAATCTTCCTGTCACTGACCTCACTGCAGCAAGGTTTCATCAGAAGTAAACAAATATTTCATGACATTCAATATTCATAAAAGTTGTTTCAGAAATAATTATTTTAAGCTCATCACATTAGACATAAATAATCAGCCTTCTTTTAAATAGACAGTGCAACCTAAAATAAAACACTCTGCTGAGGAAAAATAGCAGAGAAATATCATGACTTTACTTTCTAAAGTTGGTTTCTCCAGAAGCATGAGTCTCAACTGCCCTTTTCCAAGAAGAACTCATAAAACACAACATATGAAAGAATGTATCTCAAAACTGTTCCTGCCTTCTGGCACGATGCGCTCATCTGTTGAATTTAGACACTTAAATGTATTCTAAGTCAAATTTATCCTTAATTCACAGCATTGAAAATGAATCATATTCTAAATTCTCTGTATACCATCCACCATTCATAAGCAGCTTCAGGTCAACTTCAAGATCAAACACTGTGAACCCTTTACAAACATCATTTTTACAGAACTGAAGTACCAGTTCACAAGTACAAGGGAAAGAGATTTAACAGAACAAAACAAAAAAGGGACAAAATAAAATAAAAGAAACAAAGGAAAGAAATCAAAATAAAATAAAAACAGAGACAGGGCGTCCATCTTCAGCAGGCCAGACTTCGATCTCATTTCCCCCATGAAGGTTTCACTTGGCGGCAGGTTTAGTGGCATGGCAAACAATGCCTAACTCAGGCAAGTGTAACAGGTCTGCCTTGGCCAGTCTAGTCATCTAATAATGCACAAATATCACACAGAGAAAACATACAAAACCGAATTAATAGTCAAAATCCATCTACCAGATAATGTGGACATAAAATTTAGAATGATTAGGGTGGCATCTTTGTTTAGCTTTCAACCTTTGCGTTTTCAAAGTATATTTAAAGAAAAACCTACCAATACACACACATAAAAAGTCATATTTTAACATCTTAGTAATCTTACTTCACTTACAATTACATTTTTGTTAAATTGTTATACTAAATGTCATATAATTAAGACTGATTTCATTCTGTAGTGATTCCCTCCTCATACACCCTTGATTTACCACTGTTTAAATACATTCTCAATTTCAGATTTTATTCTGTTTTTTAAAACTGGGTTTTCAGAGTTCATATCACCTCTCTTTAATGTTCAACTTGGCGCATGAAATGTTTTATTACTGGCACTGTTGGACAACTACATAATTTTACCTCCTGGCAGAATAAAGCCATTGCTACTTTTAAAGTCCGTGATCCACTCCACTGACTCCATTAACAATGCATCATATGACACATATTGAATCAAAAACCTTGAGCTGTGTCAAAGTCATATTTATTCCACACAATAAATAAATCAGAAAGTTAAATCTGTATGATTCACATCTTTTTATAAATGCTTATAATAAAAAGTTACATGAAAACAGCATTCTGACACTAAAAAAAGAAGTTACCTCAAAACCCAATCACTTGTCCACCTAATTATACATACATTTCTGTGGAGTCTAGAATGATTTTGAAGAGTGACATTTTAACACAGTTTCTCAGAAACGCCTAATAAGTCAGCTACAAATAAGAGTCAGAACAAGATTTGTCAGAACTTTGATTTTTTTCTCCTTCCACTCATTGTCTACCACCAACAGATAGGAAAAATGTAGCTTTACCTGGCTGTTGCCATATCATGTCAGGCAGTGATCTCATCAGAAGAAAAACACCAGGAGGTGTGTTCACTCATTAGGCAACAATCTTCCCTCTCTGGCAGTACTGAACCAGTGTTAACATCTTTTTGACAAAATGTAAAACTAAGATCCTGAATAAACCTTAGTCAATGTATTTAGGGGCAATTTTCCAACTGAGGACTCTGATCCCCTTAGTCTATACACAGTTGCAAGTGGATACAGTCATATTCTCTTTTTGGTTTTAGAACAAGTTCAAAATATGAAACCAAAAAGGCCCCAAAACAAGGCACAGAAGTAACTAAAAATCTAGGCTTTACAAAGACAAATGTGCCATATGCCCCTAGTAAGAAGGCTACAAGAACAGGCAGGTCAGTTGTAGGTCAATATGGCCTTTAGTGAAAAGTACTTAGAGCATTTGCGAAATGTTGAAGACTTGGCAGAGTTTGCTAAGAACATCCCAGATTATTATAACAGCAGCATTTATCTCACACTATCTAGACCACGATGTGGCAAACATGCCAAAAAACAGTACTCTGGGACCATCGTTAACAAACTCTAAGAAGTTAACAGTATTTTTTTGAGCTCTTGCAGTTAGAGATGTTAATAAGAGGTATTTCTGGACTTGCTGCAGTTCATGGTTCAACCACTATACATATCGTTCATGGCAAAGCTACCATGTTGAAAGTGAAGTCAGGTTCACTCCATCAGCTGGAATGATTCCACTCCAAAGAGGCAAAAGGGCCAGAGCTAAATAGTCAAATGCTCGATTCCACAATGATCCCAATGAAGTCAATGGGGCTCTGCCTAACTCCAACAAAAAGGTCTACCTTAGGACCACGCTTCAGGTAACTGTATTCAGATCTAGGATACTATACTAACAATACAAACTGTCTTGTATTCAATATATCCATAAAAGTATGGCCCCACAGCTAGGTAAAGGAACATTTGCCAATTTAGTAATCATCAAGCATTTTGTTTTATTAAGAGTTTTAAAACCATTTTATGATGGAAGCATTCTGTACAGATCACTGCTTATTTAAGGAGATATCTAAAACCAAAGAGAAGTACTGCTATAGATAAGAAAAGCTTTTTATGACACATAAATAACATTTTCAACAGTAACATGAAAGAAAAACTGCTTTAAAAAATAAAGCCAACAGGTAAGCATTTATATTCAAACAGTAACTATCACCACGAATGCTAAATATCTTAGTTTAGATGACTCTAAAATGGCCAAATCCATATATTGCATGTCTACAAGAGAAAATTGGGATGCACTCTTAAACAATGCAAAAATAATCAGTGTCTTAAAAAAAAAAATCACAAGTCAACAAAAAATCCACTACACCAAAGGTGATACATTAAGATTCGAACTGCAATCTTATTGTGTCAGGAAACTGTCTGATCTTTTCAGAGCTCCATTGACTTCAGTGAGCACTCTGTGTAAGAATAACCGTGCCAACACAAACTACAGTGAATTATTTTACTTTTTTTCCCCTCAAAATATGTGATAATTATGGAAAACTGAATTATCACAATTTAAACCAACTACCTTATTGCTAATGCTGAATTTCAATTAAATCTGTATCATTGGGTTTCCTCATTCAATTTTCAATTTCAGTTCAAGACTTTTCTCTCAAAAAGCAATAAAATAAAACAAAAGAACAACAGAGCACCACCTTTTTACATGGAAAGCTTAAAACACTGAACAGACACAACAAAGACCAATAGCACAAAAGAATGTCTAAAATACCAACCTTCTGCACAGGGAACAACTATCAAAGCTCTGTCAATAAAAACCGTGTTAGTTAGATGCTGGGCCACACCAACACTTGATGCTTCGCGAAACTTAATATAACATACTTTGGAGGAAAAAGCAAGAGGTGCGTTGCTGCAAGATAAAAGGAAAAAAACCCAATTACTCATATTAAAAAACTGCATGTATGTATTTTTAACTATTACTTCTTAATAAAAAAGAAGGTTTTAGACTAGGTGAGTTGCTGCAAGTAAAAGGAAAAAAAAAATCAGTCATATTAAATAATTGCTTGCATGTATTTTAAACTATTACTCCTTAAGGAAAAAAAAGGTTTTAGACTTCCTAGAAAAGTTAGTCATAAGAGAAGAGTATAGAAATCTACTAATTTGCCTACTTACTATGTCACTGAAAAAAGTTTAGTGTAGCACCTCCTTCTTTTTAATGAAAATTTATGAAGCCAAAATCACTAATTAAAAAGGCTAATTTTCTTTAATAATCTTGGCACACAACATTGAATAGTAGTTCTAACTTACTGTTTTAAGTAGCATATTTACTTGATGCATTTGTCAAGTAAATAATTTATAGTTCATCTTTTTTTCTCCAAATAAACCTTGTTGAGGAAAGCCAAACAACAAACCCTGCCATTTTTCAGTGGGTCTTTCAGATACTAGCCTGTAATAATTAATATTTTTTCTTTGGTTTTCATAGAAGCTGTTTTATTAATTCTTATTAAGATAAAAGCAGTTATTGAGAGTACTTTCAAATATTGGTCTTAGTTGACTAATATAACAAAATTCCTTTTTATCATCTGCCTTAGTTTGGCATATTGTAGCCCGACGTAACACTGGATAAGGGAGGAGCAACTCATCATTTGGCTACAAAAAGGAAGAAAATTTGTAATTTCCTTTTCCATTAAGCAGTATACCAACTGAGAACATGTAAACATTGAAATCTTGATCAAAACCACTTTAAAAATGGATTCCCTAGTCAAGGTTTGTGACCTTTATATGAGCAGCTTATTTCTTCACACGAAGGAAGTACAGGTGAATTTTTTAAAGAGAGAATGCAACAGGATATTGCTGGAATATTAGCAATTTCCATTTGAAAAGACCATTTGCCTTCTAGCAAAGCAGAAACTTAGGGAAAATGCACTGCACAAACTGTTTCACCCTGGTCCTGCCTCAACCCAAACCAAAAAACTTGTCAACTTTCTGGAAGTACCAGCAGCAGTTCAAGTTTAACTCAACCCATTTTGTAGTTCCCTCAAATTCCAAAGCAGGTACTTCCAAAGTTATTCTATGAAATTAATTAGATTTCAATATTTAAATATAAATTTAAAAATTTTAGACATATTATTTCATCATACTAATTGCAAAAAATAAACTGGGAACTTCAGAGGCAGGCAGACTATATGTTTCACAGACAGTATGTTTCTGGTTACCAGAACAGCAGCACCTAGATAAAATATCTGAAGAGATGGTCAAATTCAGAATTGCATTTAGAAACACTTAGGATGGAAAATTCTGTAAGGACACTGAGGAGGAAAAACTAAACAGGGCGTGGGAGAGACAAACATGAAAGCCTCATACAATTCAGAAAAACATTACAAGATGACTACATTTCTTCTACCCACTTTGTCTGTAGTGGCCAATGTTTTCACAGTTTCAAGTTTCCACATTCAGGAAAGAAATAATTACATAGAAGGGCTTCTGAGTCAGCTGTAGGGTCTTTGTTCAGATCAGTTTCCAACATCAGAAATGACAGTCAGCTATGACTTTTTTAGCACTCAACAGAAACTTTGTTGACCACAAAGACTTTTAATGGCCACAAGATTTTTTTATTTGGTTTGGTTTGCTGGGGGAGGGGAACCCAAAGTGGGCAGGAGGAGGGGGTGTTGGAGGGGGTGTTTTGGGGTTTTCTGTTGTCATTGTTTGCTGTTTGTTTCTTCATAAATACACATCAGTGTTACAACTCAAATGGCTGAAGCCTTCACTGAAGGTCTTGTGGTCCACACTATTGAAAAATCATAGAATCAGCTGGGTTGGAAAAGACTTCCGAGATCAAGTCCAAGCCCTGATCCAACACCGCCATGGTTACTAGACCATGGCACTAAGTGTCACATCCAGTCTCATCTTAAAAACCTCCAGGAATGGTGAATCCACCACCTCCCTGGGCAGCCCATTCCAATGTCTGATTACTCTCTCTGTAAAAAATTTCTTCCTAATATCCAACCTAAACCTCCCCTGGCAGAGCTTAAGACTTCTGATGTCTCCCAGGTTCTTCTACATTTTTGTTTTCATTGCCAACTCAACAACATAATTCTGTTCCAGGCAGTTTCAGGCCCCATAATAATCTTCATAGATTTCAACATGTACAGAGTCAGCTCTGACAAATGTGTTTTTTGTAACATTCGCCCTCCTGTTTTACTTGGATTTAAATCACAAAAGCTATCTGCAAACTATGTTAAAAAATATTAATATCCAAACACTACTGCAAATGAGGCTCTACAAAGAAGTCTTGGTACCAGCTCTTTTCTGAAGGTTAGGAAGGAGAAATTCTCTATAAGGAGACCATCTCTGCTAAAAACATATTAATGATGCATCTACATCAAGGGAAACTATTAAGATCCAAAAGAACTAAAACTCTCGAAGGTTTCAGTGATTGAGTCCCTTTTAGGAAGTGAGCCTCTGAAATCTCCCCAGCAGACTTCTTAAGAAGTCTTTCCTAAAACAGAAAAGTCCTATTCTGTTTTAATTCCTTTTGTTGCCTTTTTTCTGCTAACCTTTTCTGAGGCTGAATTGAAGGAGAGTCATAGTCTTCTTCCTAGGGTTAAGCACCATTGATGCCAAAAAGCAATTTCTACATCTCTGACTGAAGGTTACTAAAATCCAGTTTCTTTAGGAAAGCAAAAAAACTCAAAAAGGAAATAAATATCTAAATAGTACTCAGACATTTCTGACATTTTTCTTTTCCTTTGTAGGGAGATAGCAACATTCCATCTCCCAGTAACAATCAACTGAAATATTTCCTAAGAATGACCTATTCAGAAAGCTACAGTAAAAAAATCGAAGAAAAGGCTATAAACCCAAATTTTCTCCAGGGAGGATGGTGTGTGGAGGAGACAACAAAAATTAATAACTTATTAAAACAGAATGTTATGGAATAATTATGCAGAGGCTGTGTTTTGCCTCAAAGGCCTCATCTATATTGCTGTCATTGCATGAGGTAACAATGTCTACTGACTGGACCATACCGGTGACAAATCTATGTCCCTTTCCTGAGTTAAGTGAAGATGGCCTATCCACCTGTAAGGCACAAGTGAGAGTGACTCAGTCTGGTGGCACCCCTCAAAGCTAAACGAGGCTTTGCTTAGCTACTAGGATTCATGGACAGAGAACACCGTTAGGCTCTGAACTAGAAGAGGTCCCAAAGCCCATCGCCCAAGGTCTGGTATGACATGTGTCTCCACCTCTCAATACCTGCTGGGTTGCAACCAGAACGGAGCTTCCTGGTGGCAGAACACAGAGGCCAATCCAGTCTTGCGCTTGACTAGGGAAGGGTTACGACCAACTAGCCCATTGTCCAACTTTTGGTTAAAACAAAAGTTTATTTTGAAACACTTGAGTGTTCTAGCTTCCAAGTCCACTTCAGACTATGCAGAAGCAAACAGTGTTCACAGTAGGACTTTGCACATCTAATGGAGAGAGTTTGCACCTCCCTGCTTTCAAATAACTCATTCTGCAAAACCCCAATTGTTGCTCAATAAAGTTGTTCAACATTTAACTATTGAAAAATCCTCTTACTTGAAGGCTTATCCCTATAAATGTGATTTTGAAGGCTAGTCTGAAACACAGATTTCAGCAGGGTGACAAATGTATCACAAAAGCACAAGTGGGACTAGGAATCAGATTACAGGCATCACTGATCTCCTCGCAGGCTGAAAAAAACCACCAGGCTGTGTGAGTGGTTGGCATACTGGAGAACATACCCAAGGCAAAAGACTGGTCACACACTGCAAACCAGCTTCACATTTCAACTGCACTGCAAACCAAAAGGGATGAATAAAACTTTTTGCTTGGGACAGCTTTGCTTCCCAACCACTTGTCAATGAAACATTATTTTCTAAATTTATCACACTGTTATTCAAATATATTTTCAGAAAGTCAACAGGAGGCATCTTTTTTTTGAAACAAAAAACGAGCATTAGAGCAAATAATTAATTTTCTCCCAAGGTACTAATTTGAAAGTCAGGTGAAATGTCCATACCAATTAGGCAAGGAAATCTATATTTCTAACAGTTATGCATAAAACCTGTAAATAAAACCAAAAGTAAAAGAGGTAATTACAATCCCACATCCTGTCTCTGAAAACTGAATTAATCATGAAGAACCAAATTTTATAGCATTATAATCCTGACATTCCCAAGCTAAATCCTACTGTGGTACAGGATTTTATTATTTTACATGTATATACGCACTCTGGCACAACCATACACATCAGCACAAATATTATTTATATATGAATGTCAAAAAAGTATCTATTTGCCTTAAAATCTCTTATATAACCTAGTGAAAGATAAGAGCAACAGCTGTAACAACAACAAAAAAAAGGGTCAGGAGAAAACCCAAAGTATAAAGAATCAATTGTGGAACATCTCCAAGGCAAAGCCCTAGAAAACTGTATAAAAATCCACCATATATATCTAATAAAGTGTTTAAAAATCAATAAGCATATTACATACTATTTACATATTAAATAGTTAATTTTTCTGAATGGCTGGCATTCAAACATACTCAGATGAAATGTAGCTAGATAAGCATTGATAAACACCAACTTTTTGGCTATTCAGCTTTGTAAATCTAAATTTGGTCAGTTTTCATATCTTCTTTTTATTAAAATTCAAGTATGTAAATGCGAATGACTTTCTCTCGTTTCTGCTATTCAATTTTTGTAAGAAAATACACAGTTTGAAAGGGTATGTCTGTTATTCACTTGCCAGTACAACTGCTGCCTAAATAAAAAAAACATTTCTTTTCCTCCCCTTTTCTGCTGATTACCATCTACTCGGAAGAAGCAACACTGTTATACTGCGAGCCCCAGCACCTCTCGCCTCAGCGCACCCCTCGCGAACCGCTACAATCTAGGGAAAGGTGGGACGTCCATGATTAACTTACTGCACAAATCTTATGGGGAGCAACTCGGGGCACGAGGCAGGGACGGTTCCGTCCATCTGCGGAACCTCAGCTATTCTGGCTTCTGTTCGACCACCCCCACCTCGGAGCAGAGCTCTTCTAACAGAAGGGGGAAAAAAGCAAAAAGGCAGGCGGGCGGGGGCGGGCTGAGGGCTCCCTGGCCCAGCTGCCCTGCACACAGCCCGAGCGAGGAGAAGAGCGCCAGGTAAAGTGGGTTTCCAAAAGGGAAACGGCCTGGCGCCGCCATCTTAAGTGCGGGCGCAGCTCCTTTTTCGCCGGCCCGGCCATACAAAGGGGGGGAGGGGGGAAGCGGCACGTGACACCTGCCCGGTGCCCGCACTCATGATGGCGGGCCGGGTCTTCTGTTTCTGCCCTCCCCGCCGCCCCCGGCCCCTCCGCGCCTCCTTCTCCTCCCGAGTCTCCGTCGCTGCGGAGGCCGGCGCGGGCCCCACTTACTCCGGGGGATAGAGGCGCAGCTCCTCTATATCTCCCAGGAAGCCGAAGAGCGTCCGCATCTGCTCGCTGGTCACGGCCGAGGAGAGGTTGGTGACCTGGATGACGGACGTGGGGCCCAGGGGGAAGCCCAGCGGGACCCCGATCCCGCCGCTGTTCATCATGGCGGCGCTTGCCTGGCCGCTCCGCGCGCACCCGGGGGGGAACCCGCCCACCGAGAAGGGCGCGCGCCGTCGGCCGGAGCGGCCCCGCGTGCGGGCAGGCCCTCTAGAGGCACACTCGGCTGCTTGCGGTGGAGCGCCCCGGGCGGAGGGCGGCCCCTGCCGGCAGGGCCTCCGGCTCGCACGGGGCGGGAAGAGCCCTTGCTTCCCGAGGAGCCGCTTCCCACGGAGCCGGCCGGGCCACGGTGGGCAGGGCGGGGCCGGAGCGGGCCCCGGGCCCCGCCCAGGAAAGGGCGCGGGCTGCGAGAGGCCGCCCCTGCCGCGAGCTCTTGCGCGCGCACGGAGGCCACTGCGCGCCGGGCCAGGGGCGGTGCCGGAGACCCCGTGGGTATCGCGAGCCTCTCAGGGAGTGCCTGTCAGCGGCTGGGGGCGCTGTGACCACCGCCCGGGCCAATTTCCCATTTAAATGCTCTTTTGGTGGCCAAGTTCAAGGAAAGACAGTTTAATCCCCCTAGGGAATAAAACCTTGAAACACCCTGTGTCTAAACAGGAACGGGTTGTAATAGATGGGTTGCTAATGCTTCTGTTATATCTTGACTGCAAATCTACCCCACCTAAATTGACTTAACCTGGAGTTGTAGTTGAAGTTCTCGTGAAAAATTAAATTGGCTGGAGAAAATGAGGCTGAGCACTTCGTGTGTCTGCGAGCACTATGAAGGATCGAACTGTTATCTTTCCTAGGTGGTACAGAGCTGTGCTTCTTGGCACTGAAAGGTTTAAGGTTTCAGACAGTTTGTAAGCCTTTCCAAAACCCGGACCTGAACTGAGAAGGGACTGAAGTGTTTTTGAGGTTATCTGGGCTGAAAAAATACTTCAAATTTGTGATACTTCCCTGAGCAAGTAGGTCCACTGTTACAGAATGTCTATAGATAAGTCTGGGTATTGCTTCCTTTATTCAGAGATTTATTTTATGTAAAAATGCCTGTGAATATATTTAAGGTAGGACTTATTTCAAAATGATAATTAGTGCACTCATATTCTTCTTCTAAATTAAATCCATGTTCAAACAGTAAAAGATTTAAAATCTAAGTTAAATCCTTTCAGCCATTCTGGTAGCTTCTAATTAGCCCAAGTTGAGAGATGTTTAACTGGAGAATTCCACATCTTTTGTTATATATTGTGCAAAGTCAAACTCTGGTATGATTAGTCTGTATAGTTTTGTTACGTTTTCACTAACTCACCTCTTTTAAAGATGGTTAGCAGAGGTAGAGAAGCAACTACTGCTTTGAACATTCTTATGCTTTCTCTTTGCATCTCTCAGTAAAGGGTACCAAAATAATTTTCTCTAAAATTCACAAAGAAAAGCTCTGTGATGTCAGAACTGTCTGTGATACCATCCTCCAGGTAAACCCCTTAATACTACATATGAAATTCTGAGCTCCTGGTCTGCTTTTTGAAAGCAAAACAAGCCAAATGCTGTTTAAATTTTGTACTTGTCAGTCCCCAAATGTAAAATGGTGAAGTCTTTAAATAAGAGCAACTACTAACCTTTTGTCTAAGTATTTCATGATTTTCCCACCAGGATTAAAAAGCATTTACTAGGAAATGTTAATTGCAAGTACCAGTAGAAAAATATTGGCAATTTAGAAGGAAGTTACAGTAAAAGCTGTTTTAGATGATCATGAGAAAAGTCTTTCCTTACAAGAAATCACCTTTAGAGCAGATAGTGGGTGGTCTGATAGAGGTAGACACCTGTGTGGAACTTGCTGCACTTCCAGGGGCAGAGAATGGAAATCATACGAGGTAAAATAAAGATATAAGCATTAGAAAGCTTTCTTTAGCCTTCTTTAAATGGAACCTTAAAGATTTCAAAAAGAGCTAACAATTATTTGATAAAAATAAAATAGTTCTAAGTTTTAAGCAATTTATGAGAAGTAAAATTTAACTTCAGATTTAACTAATCCTGCAGTATGGGTAAAATTTGCCTGTGGAAATCCAAAGTCCTTGGATTTTGTTGCCTTAAGAGACCACAGAAAACAGGACTCCGAACCAACTTCGTGTCTAAGATAAAGAGAGTAGGTCCTTTAATTCCAGGTCTGAGGCCCACAGGAATACATATTGACATGCCTCTCATGTCCAGGGGGTTCCACAATTTAAGGTGTTAACCCATCCAATCCCAGATTTGTCCGCCCCCAGATCCTCCCCCCCAGCACACCCCTCTAGAAATTGAGGCACGGGGCTCTGGGACCCCCTCTTCCTCAACCTCCTCCTTATCACAGCACGTACAGTCCTTGGAGTCCCTCCAAAGTCCTGGGTTTGAAGGTCGCTTTGCCTGTGTGCCATCTTGTTGTCCAGGCCAGTGTGCGGATGTTCTTAAACAGAATGAAGGCCTACCTTGAGGGAAGTCTAAACAAGCTAATGGAATTTTGAGGGAGTGATATGGAACAGGGTAAAAGTATTGGGAAAATGTGTAAACTACTGTGCTAAAGGGTTAGGGATATAATACAGCTACTTCTAAAATCTACAAAAAGCTAAAAATCCAAAAATCCATAGGCATCAGTGTCCCCTTTTAGAGGTTTGACAATACCTCAATCTTTTCTAGCCTCTACCACTTATACTGAGAAAGTCTGAAGCAAGGAAGAGGTCCCTATGGCCAAGGAGAATCAGGTTAAAGGAATTGTTCACGTGGAAAACCACTGGACCTGATGGGATGTTCCTGTGAGTGCTGAGAAATCCAGTGAATGTTACTGTGAGACCACCACTAATTATCTTTGAAAGGTCATAGTGTTTGGGGAGGTGAATGTCACGTCTAGATTCCAGATGGGCAAGAAGGAGCACTGGTAAAACTACAGGCCAGGCACTTCAATCCTTGGGAAAGTGATGGAGCAAACCCTCCAGCCAGCCATTTTCAAACATGTTAAGGACAAGAAGGAGACTAGGAGTTGTGAGCATGGATTTACAAAGAGAAAATTGTGCTACCAGCTGGTAGCCTTCTGCAGTGAAATGACTGGCTCCACAAATGAGGGTAGAGCAGCTAGTACTATTTATCTTGACTTTAGCAAGGCTTTTGTGACTTTGTCCCATGACATCCCATAAAACATTTTTCTTCGCTCTTTCAGAAGTAGTATGAGAATGCCACTAAAAGCCAATATATTTGTATAGCCTGTGCTATGTAAGTTTTACTTCCATACACAGTAACTTTACACCACCTTCCCTATCATACAACCAAAATTCCACTATTTTGCATGGATTAGTGATGCAGAACACAGGAAACAAGTATTTCTTTTACAACATGAATGTTCCTTCTCTTGTGAATTAGTCAAGAATAATAATCGTCAAATGCCAGTCTCCTCCTACTACTCACAGTAGACTGACTGTTCAAATTGACTGTTGATAATACTCCTATTTTCTTCAGTTTTGCCCAAACACGTGTTCCAGGTTAGGATATTCTTCTGCCTCTCATAATCAGTCAAGAACTTTACTCCATGTGTAACTTCATGCACAGATGCTTGCCAAGTTCTGCTCATGGCCAAATCCTCAGTTCTAACACTAAGAATTATTAGTAGCCAGAGCAGACAGTTAACATGAAATCTGAAATCAAGAGTATGTATTTTACCTATAGTTATTTCAACACTTTTTTTTCTACAATAAAACTGCATGTGAAAGTAGGATTTTTGAAATATCTAATGCAATTCAGACTCACACCTCAGTTTAAACTTGAACTAACTTTCAAATACAGACAAATTGGAAAGTGTTAACTTTGTAGCATTTCACAGACAATAGCTTTTATTCTAAACCCCAGCAGATCTACAGCACTTCTCAAATGCTAGAAGTTGCTTTCACCCCCTTTCCACTGTTATACCATTCAGATTTATCAGGTAGCTGCTCTCTGTTTTGTATACACCTTAGTATAATTTTTGAGTTTTTTTCAAGAAGTCTGCTGTGTAGAACTGAGAAAATATCTTACAGAAAAAGAACTCTTAATGCTGCGAAGTAATCCCCAATCCACCACAGCTCAAAAATTATATAAAATGCATTTTAAAAGAACTGTTTTTCACAAAATATAAGACCAAATTTATATACCTACCTAGAAAAATTATAAAAATATTTTCCCCAGATAATTTTTCCTCAAAGAGTAACTATTTTCCCCAAATGACAGTTGATCTAGAAATCTTAAAATCCTCCTTATATTGAGATTAACAGATGAACTATACATAGTCAATATAAGTAGCTGAAATCCTTTCAAACCTCCTGCCTCTGATGGCAGTCAGCAGTACAAACTGGCATTGGTAAACTGTGAGATTTCTACATCTGCTTTTTATCTGTTTTACGGCAAACACATAAAAAAAATTATTGTTATGTTGAGCATATCAGTATCTGTTAGAAGAGTTGTATCAGCAGGTATATGAGTGTGTTTTATAATGAAATTCCTCTCCCCATAAAATTGCTTAATTAAAAAATGGAGTAGCTTTTCCCAACTTACAATTATTTTTAAGCTTACTTCAAAGTAAAATGAGAGAGACAGCTGTCAACCTGAGATAGTATTGTTATCTCTGAATCTCCAGGCACACATTAACAGAGGAGGAGCATAATCACCATTTGGAGACTGGAAAAATGCACTAAAGTGGGTAAAATTTGAGAGTCTTAATCTGAGAACAGATTCTGCATCTAATTACTGTTTCAGGGCAACATTTCTTCAGTCACTTATAAAATCTGTTTTCCAGATAACACTACTTAGATTATAGAAGCATTTTTCAGAAAACCCTGTTTTAAGCTGTATGAAAGTCTACGTATCAGTAGATAAACTTTAAGTTTTTTGATATATTTTTAAAATTAGAATCTGTGAATATGTATGTGTAGGGAAAGGAAAAGATGATGTAAAAATTCAGCTTTTAATTTATTTATTTTTTCAATTAAGTTGAGTGTCTGCTAAGAAATCTCATACTTGCTGTTTTTCTGGCAGGACATGCCATTGCAACTGTTCGGATAGGTGCCCGCTATTTCTGGAGGGAAGAAAGCATCTTTTTTCTTTGCTGCGAACTTATCCTGCTAGGAGACGCAGCATGTCATTCTACATGAGGGGAAGATGTTTTTAAACCTCAAAAACCCTATCTGAACAAGATTATTAAAAGGAGTTGGATAGAGAATTTTAGAATTCACTTGGAAGAACCTCCTCTCCTTCCCAGCCAGTGTTTGTAGGAGCAGGACAAAAAGTTTGCTTCGTAGCATAAAAATATAGTAGAACCTTTTTAATTGTGAAATTTGAAAATGCACCTGAGTATAAAACTCTGTGAAGATAAACTCTAATGCTTTATTTACAATTTCTATTTGAAAGTGGCATAAAATAAGCGTGATTCGCGTTCAGTAAGTACTATGGCTGAAAAAAATTTTTGGTGTCTTAAGGTGTCTTAAAATATAAGCACGTCATGATTAATTCTATAATAGATTAATTACAATCTACAGTTAAAAGAACACCACACACTGCTTACTGCAGAGCCAGAAAATCACTCAGTGTATTTTCATAGCTTTTAAAATTAAAATGCAGCAGAAAAAAAAATTATTCAAAAGTTTTATCTGTTTGGAGGCTTTTCAGCATGGTTTCTAACCCTTGCATGCATCAACTCCAACCTCATCAGTCACTTCTCATTACAGTTAGCAAATGAGACAATTTTACATAATTATTGCATTTTTCTCAGGACTTAGTATTATGTCAGCTAACCAGCTGTTACAATCTATTTCAATATTTATTAGTAAACCTCAGTTTCTCTGCAGCGGAGCCATGGCTTTCAACTGAAGTAGTTTTTGGCAGCAACATTCTCAGCAAAAATACCTTTTCCATATTCAAAACCAGTTGTTGATTATTCTACTGTGAGTGGAAGTTTTTCCAGACAAAAATGAATCAAATATGCTAACATGTTGATGTTAGGAGCCTTGGCACAATACTTTCAAATCCTCTATTTTGCCAGTACATACTTATAATTCAGTAGAAAGCTTTTTCCCCTTTTTGTTGGTTGGTTGTATTTTTTTTCTTTCTCCAGAGTTTCTTTCACAAATCACCAACATTAGCAGTTAAATGAGAATTTCTCTGCAGAGCATCTGGTTCATCTGCTACCAGTTTCTCTATTAAGACAGTCCTTGAAAAGTTTGTTCAAAGCAGTATTTTCATATCTGGAAAACAAGAGTGACTATTCTGCCACAGGTTTTTTCATTAATTTGGACAATCCTGAAGCATAAACAGTTCAGCCATTTGCAGTGTCCAACCATGCCTCATGAAATGGATGCAGTGCAGAGCCATATTTCCCTCTGTGTTATGCAGCTGCAAAAATAGATGTTACAGGCTCCTGTGATCACAAATTTAATTCCCAGTGCTATGAAGTTCAGGACATGCAGAAAAGCTTTGTCATTTCAGCAACATGACCTTTTAAGGAGAATTGTTCTTGGCCATCTCAGGAACCTTGCTAGCACAGTCACGTGTTCTCTTGCATGCTCTAACTGCCTCTCTAAAACTTTTGATCAGGTATTCATATAAATATGAGGGGCTGAAAAAATCAGCCATTACAAGCTATGTGTTAACTGAATCTTTCACAGCTCAATTATATTTATCCGTAATTGCAACTTACTTTTGACAAGCACAAAATCCTGGGCGGAGCATTTCTGACGTAGTCTAAAATATTGGTTGTAGTGCTCATTTTATGTTTTCCTTCAGGCCAAACGGCTGCTACTTTTTCCATGCTTATTGCTTTATCCTTAATACAAAGCAATTGTTCAAATTGCAGTATGGAAATATGATCACATTCTGACAGACAGTATCAGGAAAAGCCAGTACAAGTAAGCAAAGAGCTGAGAATCCGGGAATGTGGCAGTGAAGAAGGTCTGAACTACCAGGAGGGGTGATGACTGCCTGTACTTGAAATGAGGCCCTTAGAACGCGTTAGAAGGGGGGCTGGAAACCCTCCAAGAAACTTTAGGGTACGTGCTGCTGCCAGGGCTGTGAGCCTGGGGCAGCTCTGGCAGCTTCTAGTGGGTGTGGTCAGCAGCCCTTGACGCAGGGTACCCAGAGCCTTTGTTGCAGCTGCCCCTGGCTTGGGGGAGAGGGTGATGCTCCCACCCTTTAGCTGGTGCTAGGGAGAGGCCTGTGTCAGAGCTTGTTGGATCAGAGGGAGTACCTGAGGCCTCTCCTGGACCTTACCTGCAGGTGCTGTGTTGCTAAGCAGAGGAGTTACGAAGTCAGCAACTTGTGCAGCTCAGGGAGAGACAGGATCTCCTCAGACCCTACATTTTCAAGAGCCCTGGACCCCCATCATGATGCAGACTGGGACAGTCTGTCACTAGCAGAACCACAAGTGGAAAGCAACAGTGGGAAACTGGTGGCTTCCAGCACCACATCTAAGGCTCCTGCTTATAGTGCTCTGGTAACATTTGGTGTAGCAGAGCCCCAGTTTCAAGGTACTCTCATAGATGCTGCAATAAAATCTTCTGCACACATTACAAAACTGAATTTAATCTGAGGCAACAGAAATACACTTTCTTTCTCTTTGAAAAAGTGCCTTCAGTCATAAAAGCACAAGTTGGATCCAGCATTCTTAGGTGCTTGATGAAAAAGTAAAACGTTGAGTTATGAAATAATGTCCAAGTAGGGAGTAGATATAGAAAACCTAAATAAGGCAGGGCCTAATACTCCAGGGTCATCAGGGCTGTAACCTGTTATAGTTAAAATCAGTTTTCTGCATAGAGAAGTAGGAAGTAAAGTATGGTAGTAGTATGCCAGATCCACATATACACAGAAAAAAGACTAAACAGTTTGCATTTCTACATTGTTGTGTGGTTTCCAAGAAAACTAAATGTAAAGCTGAATTTAGCTCTCGTGTGAAATTGTGCCTTCAATTTCTTTACCATGTAACACTTGTACACCTTTTCAGGACACTCCTAATTTTAACCCTACTCACTGACTTAGACAGCCCTCTCTGCTGTCAAAACTACTTAGTTTGCAACTAAAGTCCTCGCTCTGTGACAGAAGCCACTCGCTGCCCTATCTGATTTCATTGTAAGACTGGGGTGTATTAGCTCTGGCTGAGCTGGAGTTTATTTCCCCACAGCAGGCCTCACAGTGCTGTGCTTTACATTGGTAGCTAGAAAGGTGTTGATAACATACCAGTGTTTTGGCTACTGCTGAGCAGTGCTGGCACAGCATCAGCACTGTCTCTCCAACATTCCCCCATCAGTAGACTGGGGGTAGGCAAGGTCCTGGGAGGGAACACAACGAGGGCAGCTGACCCAAACTGACCTTAGGAGTATGCCAGACCATATGATGTCAGCTCAGATGTAACACCTAAGAAAAGGAGGAGGAAGGGGGGACATTTTTATTTACAATGTTTGCCTTCCAGAGCAAATGCTGCGTGTGCTGAAGCCCTGCTTCCCAGGAAGGGTCCAGACATCACTTGCTGATGGGGAGAATAAAATTATTATTTATTTTCTCTTTGCCTGTACATGCACTTTTGCTTCAATAAAACTGCCTTAATCTCAACCTATGAGTCATTTTCCATCTTCTTTTCTCTCCTGTGCACCTGGGGAATGGGGAGTGATAGAACAGCTTGGCGGGAACCTGGTGTCCAGCCAAGGTCAATCCACCACATGATATCATTTACAAAGTCTTTCTTTGTTGTGAATAACCCAGTCTTGAAATGAAATCACCTAGAACAGAGGCGTGGGCACTGAGATGCACAGAGCCAGGAACACAAATAAGACTTTACTAATGTATATTGATAGAGTTACATCTACAGATACTGTAGAAGAATAAAACAGTGTTATGGAGAATTTCCTAGAACTTAAATAAGTCAATTTCACACAGCTTTAAAGAGCATTAGTTTATTATCTATTCTCCATGTGTTACCTCAGAAACAGTCTAATTATATACAAAAATTTGGAATGTTGAATAAATGCTGATCAATAGAAACATTACATAGCTGTTGACAAGGGAATAGTTCTAAACAAAACCAAAATAATCATAAATATTTGATTCTGTGTGTTGCTTATTGCTATGTTGTGTTCATAGAATGCTTTCAAGTATATACACAATTTTTTAACTCCAGTCCAAAAAAGAAACTAAAAAATATTTACATAATAAATACGTGGGAGACTTCATTTTTTCATTACATCAGTCGAACTGATTCTTTAATGAACTATTAAGAATAGAAAGAATTAACAGAGGTTGCATGAACTCACTGCCATGCTGAGTAACTTAGGCTGCTGATGGATTTTATTCTATTCAAAATGTAGTTTACGATGCATTCAAAATGAAAAGTGCTGATATTGTCTCTCCTCCTGCTGAATTCTGGCTGGAGTAGTTCAGGAGACATTTTTCTCCCACTCTCTGCAAAATCATTTAGTCTGACATGTTAACCTTCACACACTGACAATGACAAAAACACATTTCAATCCACTGAAAAATCAAACATTTACTGAGTAAAATCAGCAAAATTCATGTTTTATTAGATGTTTAGTTTGCTAACTGATGGAAGACAAGCTTTGGCCAAGTATTTTCACAAGAACTACTAAATCTCTTGCTATAAACCTCTAGTTATATAGTTCTACCACAGCCGAACAGTTTTTGGTAGAATTTTCCCGTGATACATAAACCTGAAAATTAAGTGACACAACAACATTTAAAACTTCTGTTATCATTAAAGCAAAATACAATACAGTATAATTTCTCAGTGGTATATTTAAATGTACTGCGAAATGTATACAAAGTCAGTCCAAGATCAGTAAAGAATCAGTTCTGCTTTTTGGACTTTTCCCTTCTCAAAGATACAGGTTTTGTAGAAGACCAAAGTAATTTAGGACTTGTCTGTATGTATCCCCATTAAAAGGCAGTGTGTGATAAAAATAACATGATTAAAAATAATGAACATGTGATGCAAACATTTTGCATTTTCAATAAAAAAATAGAAACTAACCAACAACTAAACACATCTTAGAAGCGGAACACTGAAGCCTGCCATTATATAGCTATGTTTCTCATTCTTTTCTTTGAAGATTACCAGCACACAGAAAATAAGTGAATTTTATCAAAATACAGCACATTTCTACTAATATATCCAAAAAATCATTTTCTATGTAAATATTACTGAAAATCAAATAAAAAGAATTAAAATATACAAAGAGTTGTTAAAGGGTTTCAATTAAAATTATTAAAACTATACACAGTACAATAAGCAATAGTTAACATCTTTGAAAGAAGTGCAATAATATTGGCGTTAACTTATTAAAAAGTACTGCCTGTTTATTTCTGCTAGCTATGTATAATTTCTCTCTCTTCCAGCTCATTGTCCCAAAAGTAAAGGAAGCTGGTGTTTTTGCTAGCTTTATTAAAAGCATTTACTTTTTGGGTTGAAAAAAACGCTTATACCTGTCTCAAACTACCAACTTTTATATAATTAAAAATGAAATGCAATAACTGAATATTGCTCCAATGACAGGCTAATCATTAGCCCTGCTTAAAAACAGTTATCGGTCTTCTGTGGCACTTTTCCCTGGTCCATAACAACCGTATCAATTATCACTGCAGGTCATGCAGTCTCTATTCAATTACAAAGGAGAAAGATAACGTTTCTGGTAAACAAAACTAACAGAAGCATAATTGAACATTTTGTACAGTAATAAGGAACAAAGGCAGCCTGTGGTAAATCACTATTACATTAATGTAGTTAGAAACCCTTTAATGACTCTGAAGTGTCTAGTTCGCATTTAATGTTACCTGTAGGAACAGCCCTTTAAGAAACCTCATTACCAATTGGTGGGTTTTAAGTACACCCTCCCTTTGCTCTCCATCTCACCACAGCAATTCTCTGCTCAAAGTTTCACAAACTTGCTTTGGTTGCCTAGCTCCATGCGTATGGTTTCCTTTTTGATTAACAAAGCAATGCAAAGGCCAAATAAAATCAAGATGTTTTTCATAATCCTTCCTGCACCATTTGCTTTTGTGTCTGTTTCAATATATATTACAGGCAACAACCTTAAAAACTGGCCATTTCAGTTTCATTTTTAAAATCTGTACGCTTAAAATGGAGTCCTTTTTATGAAGTTTAAAGTATCGCCATTTCCACAAAATTCAGGATTTCTATTGCAGAGAAAAATCTCTGGGCACAATTCCACAGTACTGTTGAAAAAATTATGTATGCAAGAAAACCCAACTAAACATAAATCACATGTGGCAAATGAATATTGAATGACTACATTAAGAACAAATCCTGTATAATATCACAAATTTGTAGTTATAGTCTTCCTAAAAAAACACCATAAGCTTTTATTGCATTTTATATTGGTAGATGTACACTCCAGAACTAAATACTTTTTCTTCTTTCCTGATTCCAGATTTAGATAGCAGATAATTATTCCACCTGACCTTTATTCTGTCCAATCAGCACCACCTTCCATCTACCCATTCATCTATACAATGTGCACATAGCAAAGCCAACACTTCATATCCCCATTCATATCTACAGAAGTGGTTCAGCGTAACACATTAATATCTGGTGAATAAAAATAAAGGCAATAAACAGCTACAGGATAGACAGCCCTGCCATCTGTCCATTGGCTACGACTGAGGCTTTGCAAAGCCTTGCACGAAGTTTAGTAATGTGTATGAATTATCAAAAAATAAACCTACCATCTGTACAAAAAAACAACACAGGTTTGTTCTTGGAGGAGTGATCCTTAGATTGCTATAATGCTTAAAAACAAGTTTATTCACCATATGCATTTCTAAAATTATTTCTTGTACGTTCTATACAGTGGTTTTGCCCTCTTTAACCACAAGTTCAGTATTTCCTATACAAATTTTGATCATAATTCTTTTTGAGTTCTTTTAATGTATAAAAATATGCAAAATATTGTTTCTCCTAAGTCCTTCAATGAATCCTGTTGGCTTATCCCCACAATCAAAGGTACTTATGAAGAAACTTCTCGTACAATGATGAGTTCCACAGCATTCTGAAAAGTCTTTAGTAAAGATACAGCTTGTCCATGATCAATATTGATGAAGCTGTAGCCATTAGCCTAAAAAGAAACATTTAAAACTCAAAATGACAGTTTCATATGCCATGTTAGTGAAACACAACTCATATTTCATGTTAGTTTATTTAAGCTTTAAGGTTTAAAATAATCAAATTCTATATGAATGCAGAGAATAAAACACTGCAGATTTGCAGATTAGTTGAACATGTATCTGTATGCTACAAAAACCCCTGAACTACCGTGTCAGCCTTGGAAGAATTTTGCAAATAATCAAAGGAAAACCAAACTTTGAACCATTAACATCACATATCTAATTTATCAGTCTTAATACAGACACATCAAAAAACCCCTAAACCTTGTACAAATCACACATCCCATTTTAAGTAACAGAATATTAGAAATGGCATTTGTGATAAATTAAAACTATTGAAGCCCATAACAAAAAACATTGATAGCATGGGAAGCCATTTTAGGGTGTGAGACCTCTGGAGGTCATCCCCAACTTGAATGTGCCTATGACTCTAAACAACATTGTTATCGTTGGACAAGTTTGTCCTGGCAAACACAGGTAGGCCTAAGCAGCCTTAAAAAACAGGGAAAACTTGGCTATGGTTCAACTTCTCAGAGTACTACTGCAAATTCACATTCAGTTTCGGCAGCAAAATCTTGCAGAAGGACAGATTCATCCGGTTTAACTGTTATTGCTTCCAGCTGTGCATCCCACCTTTCTCCCTGAGCTGCTTATGTGGTGACAGAGTGAACTTGCCATGCTCTCTGTGCCTTAGCTGTGCCACTTTGAAAGCTGCAGTTCCTTATCCCATCACTGAACACTTGCAGTTGTTACCAGCTGAATCCTTGGTTATTAAACCAGTGGTTTTCAAATCTTTCTAGGGTTACAGAGGAAGATTTAAATACACTGTTCAGAAAGCAAAAGCGGCAACAACCATCCCAAATCATCATTTGTACAGAATGTCCTAGCCCTAGTCTTAAGTCTTACTTGCAATTATCAAGTCACTAGTTGTGTAGAATATTTTATTAGACATATGGATTAGACATGCACTGTAATATGCATGCTTATTGCATTTTTTACAGAGAACATTGCAAAATCAAGCATAAGCAAAGGCATTTTGGAAGAGATGATATTCAGTAAAAAAACCCACAAGTTGACTAAGTGGTAACAAGACAGAGTGGGGCTGTCATTACATCATCACTGGAATTATCACAGGTATAAAGAACATGCTGTTACACAAAAAATATTCTTAGTTATGAGAAAGGAAGC